AGCCCTCTTGGAAAGGTTTCCGGGAGAGAAATACGGGGACGGGCGGCCTTCACCAATTTCTAACGCTTCTGTTGTCTTTATTTAGTTTTTCTCTTAGGCGTGTGACACAAGAAGCAAGACTGTTAAGTGGCATTGTCGACTTTCCGGTGCACGTTATTGCATACATTAGCAGCGACCTATCCAGAAAATTCGGAAAGGGGTGGCCGATACACTTGCCAGCTATACATAATGATACCTTTTATTTGTCTATAAAAATGATGCAAAATAATTTTCAAAGAAAAAGGAGTGGTCGTGGCCTCCTCGCCCCACCCCCTTAAATCCACCCTTGACTTTAGAACTATGACGTGAATATACATAGCATTTACGCTGTTGTTTATTTAGACAAAAAAATTGTTCACTTGGGTTATTGACAGGGAATAGCATTTTGCTTTTTGAGAAATATGTACTTCTGTTAATACTGAAAAAATGTAGGCAAAAATAACCCGTTTAGTCACAAACTTGTGAACCACTCACGCTCTCTTCGCTATTGAACAGGTTAAAACACATTCACATTCATCCCACTTTCAAAAATGTAAGTAAATATTAAACAGTATAATATTTCTAGATATAAAAAAAAAGTGTTTGCACCTTAGTAACAATGTGAGATAACAATTTAAGAGAATGACATCTCAACTAATTGCTATTTTTGGATGTAGTCAATATATACTGCGGTTGTTCTACGCAAGTATTGCATTTACGCCGTAAATAAAATCGTGGCAATGTGAGGAAGGTGGTAGCCTGCGTGCAGACGATAACTAAACTCTGATTAGTACCGTCTGCGAAGCAGCGCAGAGATCCTTGTTCTGGACTCAACGGATTACCGGAAGTGCGTTTCGAATTCCCCTTCCACCTGATTGCCGATCACGACAAACAAAACAAAGGCCCTTTTTTAACTGGCCAATCGTGGCGCGTACTCAAATCTGGGTACACAGCTGGGAGTCCAGAAGAAGGATTTCGGCGCTGTTTCGAAGACGGAGTTAACCAGAGTTTAATTTCGTCTGCGCGCAGGCTAGGAAGGTGGCGCCGGCTTAAACTCAACTTTTGCGCGACAGTGGAAATCCATATCATTTATGGACAAAATATATTTACAGGTAGAATATCATACACCAATTTCGACATATCAAAATGTCTAAACAAAATAATCGCACAAAGTTGATTTCCTCCAGAAACATGAACTGTGGATCTAACGATCAATATATAATAGTAAACTGAATCTCAAGTCTTACATCAAAGGTAGGATTATTTCTAAAGCTCTTTGCGAATACAGCTGACTCTCCTCCCTCCTCGCCGCTGAAGCTTCGAAGCTTCGCGGCAGAGACGTTTCTCGCGAAAGGTCCCTCAAAGCGAGGAGCGAGGAGGGATGGTTTTATTCGCAGGCGAGACTATTTTATTCATCTCAAGTAGTTTAAGGCCTGGGACTAAGAGGTTCATCTGTGGAAAACAATTTCTTGGCCATAACTTCGGCAATGATGGTGACGCTAAATCAAAATTTGGCAGACATTGGCACACATAAAGAACTCATTGTCTTTAACATTTTAAAGTATAAATATTGTGTTAATCAATCACATATGTCACGTGACCATTTTGCTAAAAATTCTAAATCATTGACCAATTGGTGGCCGTTTTAAGAAAAGAAATCGAGCAATAGGACAATTGCACGATAACGTCATTTTACTACAACGCCCAGAATCCTTTAGTGTGTTGTTTTCTTATGCAAATTAAGGCTATTGTTCTTTAATCCTCAGCGGGATTGACTAATTTAAATAAGAAAGCAAAAACGAAATGAATTCTGGTAGTTGTAGTCAAATGTCGTCATCGTGAAAATTGCCTATTACATTTTTCTTATTCATATTAAATGTTTCTAGAGAAAAAACCATAAATTTAATCTTGAATTATTTAAAACTTCAATTTTAAACTTCGCGTACATTCATTACAAACGTAGAAAGTCAGGTATGTTTATCCTCTTTCAGAAATGCTAATTTGTTTATTCAAACAAAGTAAATTCGCCACCATTTCGCCAATTTCCTTCATTTTCTACTCTTGGTCACGTGCCTGTTACATGACCATAATTAAACGTTAAGGCACAAGAAAACATCAAGATTTACTTTTGGGTAAAAATTTCTTTTTTTCTCGGTCTCTTCGACAGAGATTTTGCCAATCATTCATGTGCTCCGAACAAACCTTTGATCCAGGCTTTAAACCCCTTCAGATGCTCAAATACCTGGATTCGGTGATTGTTCAATTCACACACAACTATCCTTCCATCACTAAGGGCTGCAGTAGAAACTGGATTCTTAAACTCTCCTCTCTCGCTACCTTGACTTCCAAATTTTGTAACAAACTTTCCACTCAGTTCAAACACCTGAACCCTATGATTGTATGAATCACAGACCATTAGCAATCCTTCTTTGTTGACTGACAAATAACGGGGCTCATTGAACTCCCCATCCTTGTTTCCCTGTTTTCCAAATTTAGAAATAAACCTTCCGTCAAGATTAAACATTTTAATGGAATGATCACCATAATCTGAGACCATAAAATATTGACCGTGTTGGATACAGTAAATAGGATCGACCAAATAACCTGCTCCACCAAATTTACGTAAATACTTTCCACCAGAAGAGAATACCTTGATTAATTTGTTACCCAAATCAGCAACAATAATATCACCGTTGCCGTTTATTGATAAACCTTCAGGAAAGATAAGCCGGTGATCACCAAACTTACTAAGAAAGTTACCATTCCTATCAAAGACTTGCACCCTGTGGTTATTACAGTCTGCCACTACAATATTGCCAAGACTATCAAAAGCGATTCCTTTAGGGCAATCAAAATCACTATTATTCTTACCCTCCCTACCAAACGATCTTAAGTGGGTACCGTCACTACTAAATAATGAAACCCTATTGTTACCGAGCTCAGTCACAGCGATTTCATCATGATCATTCACTGCCACACCCCAGGGCCCTTCAAGCTTTCCAACAGACTCACCGTATTGTCCAAATGACAACACAGATCTGAAGCGCTTGGTTTGTACCTGAGCCTCAAAAGGAGTGTCATTTGCCCCTTTATTTCCAGCAATTACTTTACTACTTTCTTTACCTTTCGCTTCTGATTGTTGAGCTTCAGTTTCACTTAAAACAATTTTTACATTACCTACCCCTTCACTGTTCAATACGTTAATCAGTTTTTCACTTTTAGTGAAACTAAACCGAGGAATACATTCAGTGTCAGGGTTTCCTTGGGTGCTCTGTTCCTGAAGGATTGAATCAAATGTTTCACTGAATCCAAGGATTTCAATACTAAAGCTTCGCTTCACAAGAGCTTTAGTTTGTTCAATTGCCGATTCAATTAATTTCACTTGATTTTCAACTTGGTCTTTTTTCTGTGAGAGAGATTCCAGTGATTTTTTCGCTTGATCATCCACTGCATCAAAAACATCCTGTTTCCTCGCTTCGATGATTGCAATAACTTGATCTATATGTGTCTGCACTTGGTTTTTAAAGTCGGCTACTTGCAGCTCCATGTCCGTTCTCTTTTGGTTGAATTGCTCGAGTTCCTTTCGTTTTTCTTGTGCTTTTTCTATTAAAGATTGAGTCATGGAGTTGATCTGAGTCTTGCGAGCATCGGTAGCTTCTTCCAAAAGCATCTTTCCATGACCTTCATGGTGTGTGACAGCACAAGTGTTACAAATGGCGACTTTACAGTCCTTGCAAAAGATTTTCAGCTCTTCTTTTTCATGTCGTTTCTCTCGACAAAATGCAGGTCTCATTAACACAGCTTCGATGTCTTGATCTTGAAAATCTTTCAGTGCCAGCGTTCTGTGTTCTTTTTTGGTGCGTATTATGTTATGTGCTAAAATACATTCTTCGCACCAGAAAGAACAACACTGGAAGCAATATAAGGTCTGTGCGCTACGTTCGTTGCAGTTTCCGCATTTCACGTTAGCTGTACTGCACTCTTTTATTGCCAAGACATCTAGCAAACTGTTGATACGAAAATTGGTGGGAAGCTCGCTAGGATTTCCACTTCCAGAGATTTGAAACTGTCTTCTGCACTCGGGGCATGTAATTTTGCCATGGATGCCGCTCGTTCGTTGAATACCGTTCAGGCAGTGAAGACAGAAACTGTGCAAACAAGGCAACTGCTTTGGATCAGTGAATGTACACATACACACAGAACAAGATACTTCATCATGAAGATTGTCCAGCAAGGTCTTTAAATCCATGGAAAAGGTCGGAATCAAAGTAGGTTTTCCGAAAGTTTGGAAATTCTGTAGTCGCACGGTAGTTGGTCCGTGGCACTCTAAGCGTCGGTTTTGCGAAACCGCAACAAAGAGTTCTTAATTGTCTTTTGACCAAGCCTAAACAATATTTTGCCAACCAATGAAATGATGCCTTGATGTGTTTTAAGTTTTGACGACCTGGAGAATCCAAAAATAATCTAGTTATCTCTGAGAACTGATAATCTGTTTATAAAGCATTAACCCTTTTAAAAACCAGAGGTAGCACAGTGCTCTCGATCTCGATCTGATAGTAAGCTTAGGCAAATTAACTTAGCCTACTCAAACCGACTAATTAATCATTCATAATAATCGCACATGCATAAATAGTCACAAAGGAGCGACTCTAAATTCGTTAAAGATCAGTGAAATGTCTCTCATGATTCTCTCACGCATACATGTTCTCTTTCGGCAAGTTCATTTGGTAAAAAAAGGCTCTTTTCCAGGTATAATTATCCTCATATTCTTCGCATGTGCTTTTCCAACACTTTCACGTGCCAGCTTTTTGACTGTACATCTCATGCAGATTGGTTTTTCACAGTAATAATAGTAACTTGAACGTATAAAGACCTGTTTCGTTTTGTAACTAATGGCTTCTTGTATTTTAAGAAGAAATACCCTAAAATTCCGAAAATAAGCCCCTCCAAATATAAGCCCCCCAAAGTCGTAACGCAAAAAACCCTCCGTTAAATCGCCCCTCCGAATATAAGCCCCCTGGGGGGCTTGTACTTGGAATTTGCCCTCGAATACAAAGTAAGAAAAAAAAAATGGTAAATTTCCTTTCCACTACAAGCTAGCTCAAAATCCGCAACATTGTAAGAAATTTAAAGAGCTACGGAAAACCTGGAAACGGAGCCTACTGGTAGCACATAACGACTATGTACGAGGTCTTCTTGACTAGTCAGACAAGAAGAATTCACCATCCATTGGAAAGAAATTTTGGACCTACATCAAGTCCAAAAGAAAAGACAATGTGGGCATTAGTTCTTTAAATTCTGGAAATACTGAAATAACTGATCACAAAGCTAAAGCAGAAATCCTAAGCAACCAATTCAAGGCGGTCTTCACAGACGAAGATGAAGACACGATCCCAGATATGGACAGCAATGGTGTTTCAGATAAAGACCTACTTGAATTTCAGACCAAGGGCATAGTGTCCTTGCTCAGGAATATCAACACAAAGAAAGCCAGTGGTCCCGATCCAATTTCATGCTTTGTGCTTAAAGAAGCAGCGGAAGAAATTGCCGCATTTCTGCAATTTATATTCAATTAATCATTAACAACAGGTCAACTCCCAGGTGACTGGAAATGTGCCAATGTGACCCCAGTGTTTAAAAAAGGCAGTAAGAAAGAAGCCTGCGACTACAGACCAGTATCTCTCACTTCTTTGCCCCGTAAGATCTTGGAGCACATTATCTCCCTTCATATTATGGGTCACTTGAACGCGCATCATGTACTTGTCAACTACCAGCATGGATTTCGCCGGGGCCGCTCATGTGAAAGCCAGCTAATTACAATAGTCGAACTCATAGCCAGAAACTTAGACCATGGAAAACAGACTGATGTGTTATTGCTGGACTTCTCAAAGGCATTTGATACGGTCCCGCACAAACGTCTCCTCAAGAAATTAGATCACTACGAAATCCGTGGACAACTGATCAAACGGATAGAATCCTGGCTTTGCGGAAGAACTCAGAAAGTTGTTGTTAATGGTTCACTGTCTTCTCCAGTGACTGTAACTTCAGGAGTTCCTCAGGGCACCGTCCTGGGCCCACTGATGTTCTTAGGGTACATTAATGACATTGGTCTCCAAATAACCTCAGAATTGGGTCTGTTTGCAGATGACAGTCTCCTATATGGGTTTGTTAACAACATTAGCAGTGCCGAGATGCTTCAAAGTGACCTCAACAAATTACTAGTCTGGTCAGAGAAATGGCAGATGGCTTTCAATGCCAGCAAGTGTTTTCTGCTTAGAGTCACTCGCTCCATAATGTGGTTAACTACACCTATACCATGATGGGATAGTCCATAACATCAGTGACACAGCACAAGTATCTGGGTGTAGAATTAATTTGTAGCAAATTAACATGGAATGAACATATTTCTGCTATTACAGGGAAAGCGAACTCTTCCCTCGGCTTCTTGAGAAGAAATCTATATAACTGCCCCTACCAGATCAAGATGCAGGCGCATCATTCTTTAGTTAGACCCCACTTGGAGTATGCATGCTCGGTGTGGGACTCACATACACAAAAGAACATTCAATCAATTGAGAAAAGAAGTGCAATTAGCGCAAACCGGGTACCATCACAAGTTTACTAGAGGAGCTAAAATGGCCATCATTGGAACAGAAAAGGAAACAAACAAGATTTAAAAACTTGTATAAGATCGTAAATGGCACCCGGGCAGTAGAAATTCCAAATTACTTCAGGCAGAAGGAACGCCACACAAGAAATTACCACCCACTTAAATTTATAAATGCTGGTTGCAGGACTAATATATATAAATACAGCTTTTTTCCCAGATCCGTTAAAGAATGGAACGAACTTCCCGAAACAATTATTGAAGCTGCCAACACAGAGGCCTTCAAGCTTGCCTTGAGGGCCCAGGCCAGGCTCCATTGAGCATTTGAACATTTTTTAATTTTAAAATCATCAGAATAAATTCACTGCACTGTTTTTAGCGCACATAGCACGAGCACAGCACATATCTGCTGAAGATGCCCTTTGCAGATCAGACATTTAGATTTAGATTTATTCGGTATTCGATGAGCCCCATTTTGTTTAGAAACTCCGAAGAAACCTTCGAGTTTTCCTTCTAATCAACGTTCGGTGAGTTGATATTTACGGTACTTAAACAATTCGCTTAACTTGCACCAGATGTATCAGTGAAAGACAGAGGACAGTGAATATATAGCAGGAGGATCGACTGAGCGTTTCGCGTATACATTCATGTACAGCAATACCCAATTTCGCACAAAAAACCTGTCTATAATAACATTTAGGATGAAAATTCATTATTCTTGGTACGGTTACACTGAAGAATTCAAAATATCTCATGCACGTTAAACGTGCCTATGTTTTACTAGTCCCAATTCCCCCTCCCCTTCGGTCACTGTCAACGTCCAAGCACAGGCGGCCCAAACTCACGTTGCGAGGGAAGGGTGTAATGTAATTTACCTAACATATGTGACGCGCTGGTGTCGCGTTACAGGCGACCGTTGAAAATATAATTATAAGAGACTTTGTATGGGAAATATATTACTGAGATCTGCGAAGGCTAAATAACGCTAAACCTTACTTTTTCTTAAATGAAATGAATAAAAAAGTCTTACCTGCAATCTATTCCGCTGCGGTTTGGTGTCTGTTTGTCGTTTTACTGTTTTTTTGGCTTTATTGCGTAACCACTGTTACTCCTTTCATAGAACGAAGTGAAGGCTGGTCACTTCCATCTGTAGGGGTCCTGGACCAGTCGCAAAAACAATGCCGTTTTTTTCGCCGAAATTCAAATCCGCTGCGAATTTTTCAGCTCCAGCCCAAGAAGGAAACCTCTTCTTCCTCTCTGGGAGATCGGCTCGAAAAAAAATCCATAATTTCCCCATCAAATCGAGCCATTTGTGCCACACTTCGAGGCAAGTCTGGCTTTCGTGCAGTGCCTGTGACCACTGTCGCGCTTACCAAGGTTTCCAATTTCAAATGCAAATTAGTTGCTAGGGTGACAATTAGCACTTACGCGACGGGTGCAAGGGCAGAAATGACCCGTTAACTAGGCTCCTCGCCCCACCACGCCACCCTAGCAACTAATTTGCATTTGAAATTGGAAACCTTGGTAAGCGCGACAGTGGTCACAGGCACTGCACGAAAGCCAGACTTGCCTCGAAGTGTGGCACAAATGGCTCGATTTGATGGGGAAATTATGGATTTTTTTTCGAGCCGATCTCCCAGAGAGGAAGAAGAGGTTTCCTTCTTGGGCTGGAGCTGAAAAATTCGCAGCGGATTTGAATTTCGGCGAAAAAAACGGCATTGTTTTTGCGACTGGTCCAGGAACCCTACAGATGGAAGTGACCAGCCTTCACTTCGTTCTATGAAAGGAGTAACAGTGGTTACGCAATAAAGCCAAAAAAACAGTAAAACGACAAACAGACACCAAACCGCAGCGGAATAGATTGCAGGTAAGCCTTTTTTATTTATTTCATTTAAGAAAAAGTAAGGTTTAGCGTTATTTGGCGTTCGCAGATCTTAGTAATATATTTCCCATACAATGTCTCTTATATTTTCAACGGTCGCCTGTAACGCGACACTGGCACGTCACATATGTTATGTAAATTACATTTCACCTTCCCTCGCAACGTGAGTTTGGGCCGCCTGTGGTCCAAGATGGCGGGGGAGGTTCACTTCGCGCTGCAAAAATACGTTGCTATGGCAGGCTGCGGAAATATTCTTAAAGAGCCTGGAATGTCGCTTCTTAGTTCGACACGGCAGTAACACGTCGTTTGAAACGGGAGCCCCTCTTTAACGCTGAAATCTACAACAGAGACAGGGTAAGGAATGTTATAGCGACCTGAAGAGCGTGGTGAACTTTGTTTGTATTCAGTGATAAAGGTATTGTTAATGTTTTCGAGCTCTGTAAGAGTACAATTATTAAATGCACGTTATAGTTAACTTTCCCCAGGAGTAGGACCCCAGGGCAACCAGGGGGTTGTAAAATAGGTGGGGTTCAAGTAATTGTCAGTGAAAAATCCCTCTGATATCCCCTGGGGACTATTGTATGTCACTCAGCTGTAGCTGGCATAGTCGGTGGGTTTTTCCAGAAATAACTGGCAACATAAAGACCATGAAAGAGCTTGTGGGGTGAATTTTGCCTGAAAGTCATCCATGAGAAGAATGGGCAAAAATCCACACTCTGCTGCTTAGGGAGTTTTAGCAACGACGGCGTTGACGGCAACAAGAACGTCAAAACACCAATAGGTTTGTTAAGCAAAACAACAAGTTTGCACGTGCGTCATGCTTTTTTGTACATTTCTTTGCTGTTACTGCATGACTACGACGTGAAAATGGCTAATTTCGTGTTTTATTGAGGACCTAAACAAGCGACCACAAGATTTTCTTTCTCTTTCTAAACTTGAGTGCAGTCCCCAAGAAATCAACTCCAGGGAAATTTACCTACATTAGACATTTTCAACGAATTGGAATAAAATGTGACAAAGTGTGAAAAAATGCTAATTCATTTATAAGTGATGTTTTCGCTGCTGTTGCCATCGTTGATTGCTAAAACTCCCTGTTATATTCCCATCGGCTACACAGCCTGTGATAGTTTGGGATTAAATTTTACTCATTCATTTTAGGCTTAGGAGACACAATATTATAATAACAAGAGTAGCCCAGGTTCGATATATTAAAATTCTAACATGACTCTGAGGCTTTCTACTCACATATTTCTATATTTGGTTTGGTTTTCTTTACAAATGTGCGAGTCTCCTAGGAACTGCGAGACGATGGAGTCCTGAAAATTTTTCAATTTTGTCCCAAAGCCTTGGAGTCATGTTAGAATATTTTAATATATCGAATGTGGGCTATTCATGACAGTAGAACTTGGCTAAATTGAATTAACATTAATATGTTGTGCTCCATGTCCTTTTCCCTCTTCCTTCCAATGTTGACCTTGAAATAGACAAATGTACCAAAAAACCATTATATAACATCACCGGAAAGGGAAAAGGAGGTACCAGAGGAGTTTGACCCATGCTGTGTGTCCTGGATTGTAACTTAATTTTAAAAAAGCCAGTACAATAAAAGGAAAACTGAAGGAAGATATCAGATGTAGGTCTGGGAGAGACTAACATTTTCTGTGGATTATTTTATATGAAATTAATGTACCCTGTATAATGTACATCATGATGCTTTATTAAAAGTTTTAAGGGCTGACTTTAATACACCCCTATCCATTATTAATGTTGATTCCAGTTATCCTATTTAATTACTAATCATAACTATAACAAAATTGTCAAATCTGATTGGCTATCAACTGCCCTGATTTCAGCCTTAATTGGACAGTTTGATAGGACAGTACGCGTCATGCCTAAGTAATTGGACAATACGCGCCATCACGCGCGTACTTAAATGACTTTTTTTTCACTGCTAGCAAAACAAAATTTCAAATTTCTTGTGTTTTGATTTAAGAAATAGCCTATTATATCACAAATTTTGTTAAAGTTATGATTAATTGGTAACAGAACCTCGTGTCGTCCAATTCGGTCTGTAATCATACTCATGATTGAAAAAAACAAATCAGACTCCCGCTACGCGGTCGTCTGTTTTTGTTAATCACTCATATGATTACAGACCGAACTGGACTCCACTCAGTCCTGTTACCATTACTTAACACTCCTCATTCCTCATTGTACTCATTGAATTTTCTGAATAGGGTATGGTTTTTGAGGGTCTTGAAACTTAAATAGGGTATCATATTTGCCCTTGCTAGCATTGCATTCCTGGTGTGATCCTTTGATACTTGTGTCATCGAAATTCAAGTGAGGAAAAGCCCAGCCAGCTAAACTAGAAACAAATCATCCATTAAAAATGAACTATTCCTCAAGAGTATTAGGAAAGTGATTTACCAGTTATTAAGCCGTTTGTGCGTTGCCCTGAATAGGGTGTCCTTTTTAATTTTCAGGTTTCGGCATAAAATAGAGAGTCAATGTTTGTTTATCTCATCCTTAATTTATGGGGTCGGGATTTAAGACTGTGGGGAGCACACACTAGACCCAGAATTTATGGGAGTACTTTACCCCGGGATTTCCGCACAAGTACAGGAGCAATACTTAAAAAAGCATTTGAATCCCCTGGTGAAAGGGATGAGCAGTAGTACATATGCTTGCAGAAGGGTTGTGGTGGTGGATAGATTTTGGACTGACCCTTTTCCCTCCTTCATTAGGTTGCCTTGGTAACTGCACACTACAGTCATCAGTATGAGCAGCAACACAGTCAAAACCTCCTTGGTTCTTGTCCTGTACACTGGTGGAACAATAGGAATGAAGAAACTTAATGAGAATGGTACATTTTAGGGGTACCTACCCTATGCCACAGTCTTCTTATTTTATGGAACAGATTGTCGGTACTATGCGGGGGTCAATCCATTTAGTAGGATAAAAAAGGTTTTGATAAAATTAGCCTGTTTACAGACCCTCCATTTTCTGTTTAGAGATCATCGAGCGCACATATGTGCAATTCGAGAAAATATCCATACCATACTAAGGATGGCTTCCATATTTGAACCCCCCCACCCTTGCCTTTGGAATTTCCAAAATGCGTTATTCCCCTTATGCCCACAGAATTTCATAACTGTTAACCCCCACTCCTGTTCGTATTTCTCATTTGGTCAAACCCTTTGGAATTTTGGCAGGGTTTGCAAGTATGCCCAATTTGGCTTATTATTTTTATGCCAAAAGGACCAATTGCAGAAAGTGTGTTTCCAGAAAATATCCAGAGAAAAAAGGATGTTTTGTAGCATTAGGGCCTCTGGAGCTTGATGTACAAGCTACATTTTGTTGGTTTTCTCCTACAAATAACATGAAAGTATTACTGATCGATGGATGTATCCTGTTTCCGAGGTCATCAGCAGTGTCATCAGTTTGTGCTTTATTTGCGAACTGATTAAGTCCCTAAAATAAGTGTTTTTGAGGGATACACTCATCTGTCCCTTGTGGAAATTCCAGGTTTAAAAGCCCCCCATTCCTTCGGAATTCCAATCGTAAGTATCCCCCCATGCCTTCGTATTTCCAGTTCAAAGAACCCCGTCCATGGTATGATATGGATGTTTTCTGGAATTGCGCAATATGAAACACTGCTGATGATTATTTTATTGAACAGAGCTCAAAAAAGTTGATTTTATCCTCATGATTATGATGACCTATACTGGGAAACTGAGAGATTGTTGCTTTATATTAACCCAGAAGACTTCTTAATCATCTGGGAGAGCTAGCACATCTCCCATTTAAAATAATTATTCTGTTTTCTTCTCTAGAACCTTGCGCTCTCCATCTAGATATCTTTATAAATGAATTGAAACGACTTCCCATGCTCCATGATGATTCTGCCTGTTATGTGTCTCAGGGGGAAAAAGAAATTTCTACTTCACAGAGATTAGCTATGCCGTAAGTATATTTTTATGTTGGTCAATAATTATTTTTAAATACAGTGTTTTCACTCGTGTGTCCGCCGGCTAAGTATATTGGAACAAAAGAAAGTGTTAACCTAGCTACAAAGGAAAAGAGGTCAACTCCCACAGGATTGGTTAGGGACACTAAACTTGGCTGCCAACATATTATATTGGGACACCAACAGATCAGATGTGATGTCATGTGAAAATGGTCTATGATTATGAATTTTTAACATAATTTGTCGGTGAACTAATCATAGTATAATTAACCTGTAACCATGATCTTTAAAGGTCCTACGTGTTAAGAAATTATAACTTCCTGCACTGTTTTATTTATTGAACTGATTTTTTATTTACAGTGTATCCAAACTTGGCATCAGGATAATGTACGATATCAAAGAATCTGGTAAGATCAGAGAATCTAAAGACACTTGCGCTGAAGACTGGATTGATGTCAGTGTGGAGATCTTTGATAACTATGAGAAGTATGATGGCTTTGTTATCCTTCATGGAACAGACACAATGGCTTTCACAGCATCTGCACTTTCTTTCATGTTTGAAAACCTTGGGAAACCTGTGGTACTGACAGGAGCTCAGGTAATATGGGAAAGGCTGAATAACATAATTTCTACATTGTCATCTGGGGCATTCATAAGTGACAAGTCATTTGCTCGTAAGTTAACATATTTCTGATAGCTACAAGCATCACTGATTTTCCCTGCGTCAGAGACTTAATGTAGAGAATAAATGTTCTCGCTGGTGTGGTAAGATGCTTTCGTATTAGCAATTATAACTTAAGTATTTCTTGCCATTGTGTTGTTGAAGAAAATATCAATGGCTTCCCTGTGGAAGGCAATTTATTCTAAGACCTGCCACCTATCTGGAAATTCCAATTTACTTGTTATAAGTTTTATCATTTCTTCTTATATTTTATTCTTAAGATCCCTTCCTGTACCGGTAAATTCCAATTCTGTGGGCCGGGGGAAGTTATGGAAATTTTCTGGATTTACAGTTGAACCTCTCCACAATGGCCACCTTGCAGGGGCACCCAACGAGGATATAGTTCAAAACCACTAAACATAGCATTGTTGAACGTATTTTAGTATTTAAACGGTAGATATAGGCATATTTTTATCCCCTAAAAACTTTTCATCTGTTCGGATTTCCTAGCTGAAAGTCTAGTGATCCGAAAATCATAGGGATCAAAACTTACCTTTTCGAAAATTTCAGCCAGGAAAAGGCTCCCGAAAATTCTAGGTGGCCTTTTTTGGGGTAAATATCCGTTTAAAATGGGTAATTATACCATTTTGTAGATGTTCGAAAATCCTAGGAGAGGCAGGCAAGCAAGAAATTTTACAACAAATGTCCCGAAAATTCTAGTTCTCAAATCGTCTTCCGAACAGATATTTTCCCGAAAATTGCCGTTGGGTGCCCCTGACCCTGGGAAAGAAAATGGCCGTTGTAGAGGGGTTTTTAATGTATGGACTCTCCGCCAAAAAAGGGGGCCGTTGTAGAGAGGTGACCATTAGTGGAGAGGCATTAGTAGAGAGGTGACCATTAGACTGTTCACAGTCCCCTATTTTTTCGTGAGATCGTTGAGATATAGCGCGTCTTACCGTTAATGACGGTCATCTTGATTTTCAAATGTACCGAGGGGACGGGCGTCGGGGATTATAGCTCTAGGGGGAGGTGGGCGAGAAAAATAGAGGGACTGTAATAACATCACTGCAGTTTGCGTTCAAGGAGCGCGTTGTACCAGCAACGCAGGCGTTTGATTGGTCATTAGACAATAGATGTTAATTTGCGTTGACAACGGGTTTAGTTTAAGTTGCCGACTCTGACAAGTCGTTGACAAGTCGCCGTTTCTGTAAAACGCACGCTTTCATACCATAACGTACAACTTGCGCAAACACACGAACGATTTTTGGTATTTTGCGGATGAATCACGTAAGCCAACATGCTTTGGAAGCAGCTCGGCCGCGGGAATGTTGTAACACAGTTTCTGCCAAACGAATTGAAATTTAACGTAACGCCGACGCAAAAAGATGACTTGTCAGAAATGCCTGGCTTTTTATCCCGGGCTTTTTATCGGGACGTTTTAACCATTTTAGTCTACGGTCAAGCGAGCATGCTTAGCGATTCGATTACGAAAATGTTTCTCTTGTGCCTGTTTGCCGATTTTATTGTAAGAATGGCCTGGAAACATAAAATCACTTTTTCGAAAGGAGATATTTGTAAACACGCGTAATCGATGCTAAATGTGTCTGGCATGTTTTTCATCGCCAGCGGAGTTTCTTAATTAATGAATGGTAAAAGGCGTGAAATTTCTGTCACGCCTCCTGAACGCGAGCTGTAGTGATGTTATTACAGTCCCTCTATTTTTCTCGCTTCCTCCCAAACCGCCCCCTGCCCCCTAAGTAGTTTTGACACTCACGCAAGATGGCAGCCCGAAACGCAAAGCGCTCGATCTCGACGATCTTACGGAAGAATAGAGGACTGTGAACAGTCTAGGTGACCATTAGTGGAGAGGGGTTAGTAGAGAGGTGACCATTAGTGGAGAGACGTTAGTAGAGAGGTGACCATTAGTGGAGAGGCGTTAGTAGAGAGGTGACCATTAGTGGAGAGGCATTAGTAGAGAGGTGACCATTAGTGGAGAGGCGTTAGTAGAGAGGTGACCAGTAGTGGAGAGGCGTTAGTAGAGAGGTGACCGTTAGTGGAGAGGCGTTAGTAGAGAGGTGACCATTAGTGGAGAGGCATTAGTAGAGAGGTGACCATTAGTGGAGAGGCGTTAGTAGAGAGGTGACCATGAGTGGAGAGGGGTTAGTAAAGAGGTGACCATTAGTGGAGAGGCGTTAGTAGAGAGGTGACCATTAGTGGAGAGGCATTAGTAGAGAGGTGACCATTAGTGGAGAGGCGTTAGTAGAGAGGTGACCATTAGTGGAGAGGCATTAGTAGAGAGGTGACCATTAGTGGAGAGGCGTTAGTAGAGAGGTGACCGTTAGTGGAGAGGCGTTAGTAGAGAGGTGACCATTAGTGGAGAGGCGTTAGTAGAGAGGTGACCATGAGTGGAGAGGCATTAGTAGAGAGGTGACCGTTAGTGGAGAGGCGTTAGTAGAGAGGTGACCATGAGTGGAGAGGGGTTAGTAAAGAGGTGACCATTAGTGGAGAGGCGTTAGTAGAGAGGTGACCATTAGTGGAGAGGCATTAGTAGAGAGGTGACCATTAGTGGAGAGGCGTTAGTAGAGAGGTGACCATTAGTGGAGAGGCGTTAGTAGAGAGGTGACCATTAGTGGAGAGGCGTTAGTAGAGAGGTGACCATTAGTGGAGAGGCGTTAGTAGAGAGGTGACCATTAGTGGAGAGGCGTTAGTAGAGAGGTGACCATTAGTGGAGAGGCGTTAGTAGAGAGGTGACCAGTAGTGGAGAGGCGTTAGTAGAGAGGTGACCATTAGTGGAGAGACGTTAGTAGAGAGGTGACCATTAGTGGAGAGGCGTTAGTAGAGAGGTGACCATTAGTGGAGAGGCGTTAGTAGAGAGGTGACCATTAGTGGAGAGGCGTTAGTAGAGAGGTGACCATTAGTGGAGAGGCGTTAGTAGAGAGGTGACCAGTAGTGGAGAGGCGTTAGACCATTGGTGGAGAGGCGTTAGTAGAGGGTGACCATTAGTGGAGAGGCATTAGTAGAGAGGTGACCATTAGTGGAGAGGCATTAGTAGAGAGGTGACCATTAGTGGAGAGGCGTTAGTAGAGAGGTGACCATTAGTGGAGAGGCGTTAGTAGAGAGGTGACCATTAGTGGAGAGGCGTTACCAGAGGAGAGGCGTTAGTAGAGAGGTGACCATTAGTGGAGAGGCGTTAGTAGAGGGGTGACCAGTAGTGGAGAGGCGTTAGTAGAGAGGTGACCATTAGTGGAGAGGCGTTAGTAGAGAGGTGACCATTAGTGGAGAGGCGTTAGTAGAGAGGGTGACCATTAGTGGAGAGGCATTAGTAGAGAGGTGACCATTAGTGGAGAGGCGTTAGTAGAGAGGTGACCATTAGTGGAGAGGCGTTAGTAGAGAGGTGACCAGTAGTGGAGAGGCGTTAGTAGAGAGGTGACCATTAGTGGAGAGGCGTTAGTAGAGAGGTGACCAGTAGTGGAGAGGCGTTAGTAGAGAGGTGACCATTAGTGGAGAGGCGTTAGTAGAGAGGTGACCATTAGTGGAGAGGCGTTAGTAGAGAGGTGACCATTAGTGAAGAGGCGTTAGTAGAGAGGTGACCATTAGTGGAGAGGCGTTAGTAGAGAGGTGACCATTAGTGGAGAGGCGTTAGTAGAGAGGTGACCAGTAGTGGAGAGGCGTTAGTAGAGAGGTGACCATTAGTGGAGAGGCGTTAGTAGAGAGGTGACCAGTAGTGGAGAGGCGTTAGTAGAGAGGTGACCAGTAGTGGAGAGGCATTAGTAGAGAGGTGACCATTAGTGGAGAGGCATTAGTAGAGAGGTGACCATTAGTGAAGAGGCGTTAGTAGAGAGGTGACCATTAGTGGAGAGGCGTTAGTAGAGAGGTGACCATTAGTGGAGAGGCGTTAGTAGAGAGGTGACCATTAGTGGAGAGGCGTTAGTAGAGAGGTGACCATTAGTGGAGAGGCGTTAGTAGAGAGGTGACCATTAGTGGAGAGGCGTTAGTAGAGAGGTGACCAGTAGTGGAGAGGCGTTAGTAGAGAGGTGACCATTAGTGGAGAGGCGTTAGTAGAGAGGTGACCATTAGTGGAGAGGCGTTAGTAGAGAGGTGACCATTAGTGGAGAGGCGTTAGTAGAGAGGTGACCATTAGTGGAGAGGCATTAGTAGAGAGGTGACCATTAGTGAAGAGGCGTTAGTAGAGAGGTGACCATTAGTGGAGAGGCGTTAGTAGAGAGGTGACCATTAGTGGAGAGGCGTTAGTAGAGGGTGACCAGTAGTGGAGAGGCGTTAGTAGAGAGGTGACCATTAGTGGAGAGGCGTTGGAGAGGTGACCAGTAGTGGAGAGGCGTTAGTAGAGAGGTGACCAGTAGTGGAGAGGCATTAGTAGAGAGGTGACCATTAGTGGAGAGGCATTAGTAGAGAGGTGACCATTAGTGAAGAGGCGTTAGTAGAGAGGTGACCATTAGTGGAGAGGCGTTAGTAGAGAGGTGACCATTAGTGGAGAGGCGTTAGTAGAGAGGTGACCAGTAGTGGAGAGGCGTTAGTAGAGAGGTGACCATTAGTGGAGAGGCGTTAGTAGAGAGGTGACCAGTAGTGGAGAGGCGTTAGTAGAGAGGTGACCAGTGGTGGAGAGGCGTTAGTAGAGAGGTGACCATTAGTGGAGAGGCGTTAGTAGAGAGGTGACCATTAGTGGAGAGGCGTTAGTAGAGAGGTGACCATTAGTGGAGAGGCATTAGTAGAGAGGTGACCGTTAGTGGAGAGGCGTTAGTAGAGAGGTGACCATGAGTGGAGAGGGGTTAGTAAAGAGGTGACCATTAGTGGAGAGGCGTTAGTAGAGAGGTGACCATTAGTGGAGAGGGGTTAGTAAAGAGGTGACCATTAGTGGAGAGGCGTTAGTAGAGAGGTGACCATTAGTGGAGAGGCGTTAGTTGAGAGGTGACCATGAGTGGAGAGGGGTTAGTAGAGAGGTGGCGGTTAGTGGAGGTTCAACTGCAATCATCCCTTAGAAATTAAAAGTTACCGTATATTGAAAATTTAAATTATAATGCAAATTCGTGAATTGCATTTCAGTTTAAAAGGGATGAAGGTGTATTAATGGACTGTATAATTGTACATCTAATGTAGACCCCAATTTATGATGAGCTGACAGATGCAAGAGATAACTTGTGTGGAGCCCTTCTGTTTGCAGGACAGTGTGTTGTTCCTGAGGTAATCACATACTAACTAACTGCTTAGTTGCTGCCATTCTGATTTGTATAAAAGTCATATTTTTTTATTATGGACCTGAGGTGGTTACTCCCATTAATTTCAGATAGGTGTGGCCTGGGACCAGGCTCCACAGTGGGGGAAAAAGGCAAAAAACGGGGTCAAATGGGAAAAATATCGGCGAGCCAAGTGGTATCCTGGGGAGGGGGAAACTACCTCTTGGCTCGCTTCACTCGCCAATTTTTTTCTCCTTTTTCCCACGATGCGGAGCCTGGTCCCAGGCTAAGATAGGTGTGGGTCTCAAACCCTGACCATACTTAAGGATATGAGACCACATCCTATTTTAAAGGCCCAAACTCAAAAAGTCCCAGTGCAGAGGAAAAACAAAAGATTAAAATTTAATGGCAACAAACCTTCATTAAATCGCTTACATAATACTAACAAATGATTTCTTTCTTGTGTAACTGGGTTAATTTATGCACTTGAATTTCAGCTGATACTATTTGGCCTTGGGTACCCTATTTAAGGATCACACTCGGAACACAATACCAACACAGGCAAAATGATACCCTATTTAAGGATCATGACCCTCTAAAACTATAGGTGAATCCTTGTTGACATTTTTTACGTCATTAGCATAGGCTTATCATTATCTGATGAAGCTAATAAAATGACATTTCTGAATAGTGAAAGAGCATAACAATTTCAGTTGTCTCTGAAAATTTGAGCCGCATATACGAGATAGTTTTGGAGGAATCCTTTTTGAAATACCCCAGAATTTACAAAGAATGTATGAGCTCATTAACGTTTTGCCTCCCGGTAATTTTGCAGTTTTAAATTGCTGCTACACGTATTTTCTTTGTTACTGATTGCAAAGAGCTGAAACTTGCACAAACTGCATAAATTAACCAGCTCTTTTAATTTTTGCGCCTAACTGGTATAAACGGCTACATCTTCTATGGGTTAACTGGTATGCTAATGAGCAAAAATGTAGACAATGATGTAACGATCAATCCGCCTATACCCTGTTGGGCGGCACATACCTGTCTAGCCCACATATGGGAGTACCTTCCCTGGGTATGGACTCCACTACATCAAAGGGGCCATGTCACGAGGGTAATTGCTTTTTTAGTGTTTTGCCCATGCACAAAAAGCTCCTGTAGATTTATGAAGGAAATATCGGATCAATTTACTGAGGTTTCTGGGAAGCTGCCTACCCACCCCTTCTCTAAGCTAACCTTAACACTTACTTCTCACTTAGGGCAAAATGATGGCTTAGGGGAGGGGTGGGTGGGCAGTTTCCCAGAATCCTATATTGATCCAAAAAATCAAACAAATTTCATCAGGGAGCGGCAGGAGCAGGCTGGGAGCAGCCTAGCGGGCAATTTACCGTTTTAATACTTGAAAAAGATGGCCCAACCTTTTCAAATTTCAATCCATGTCCATCCTTGCCATCCGTAGCGAGAGACAACAGGCTTTTTGAAAATATAGCAAATAGCATGACATTAGCCCCTTTAAGCCTAAAAATATGCTTAATATGCTTCTGAGTCTATAGCCTTGATACCACCTTAACTAATTCACCCATTAATTTCTAGACATTTGAAAACCTGTAGGTGATGATCTTCTTTGACGGTAAACTATTCAGAGGAAACAGGTCCACAAAAGTTGATGCAAAAAGCTACTCTGTGTTTGACTCACCAAGCTTCCCACCTTTAGCAAAACTGAGCAGCAATGGTGAAAGTAAGTACTTGAAGACTTTTAAGTCATTTCGCTGAAGAAAGTGCTGAGTAGTATTATTAATGTTAAAATGGCCAAGCCTGCAGGCTGGGGTGCTGCAGGTTTTGTGGCAGAAATTTATTTACCAAGTGAAATGAAAATAAGGCCTGATCTCAGGTTAATTTTTGGGGGGATTTGGGAGTGGGTTCAATTTGTTTGCTTTTGTAGATAGGTTGTGGACTCTATAACAGCTTTCACCAGTTACTGTAAGCTCAAAACAGTTTTTTCACTGAACAGGGCATGAGAAGATGGACCACACATTGGGTTCTACGTCCCCTTAGTCTTTTTTAACTGCTGTGGGTTCTTCAATATCCCCTTTTTAGCAGAAGGATGAAAGAGACGTCACTGTCTATCGCTCCAGTATCACAATTAGTAAAGCTACAAAACAAAGTTGTGAGAGTTATTAATAACGTTCCACTTCGTGATCATATTACGCCTCATTATGCAAACCTTGGCCTAATTAAGCTTCCTGACATTGTTAAGCTAAATACCTGCCAGCTGATTTACGATCACTTTGTAGATAAAAAGCCGTCTAATTTCACGCTGGCCTCGGTATCTGAGCAACATAATTATGACACAAGAAGTGCATCCGTGCGACACCAAAATCCCAGTAGCTTTAGAATAAATTTAAGAAAATTCTGTCCAACAGTCGTAGGATGCTATTATAGGAATGATATACCTTTATCTATACGTGAAAAAACAACTTAAAAATTGTTTAAAAGAGCACTTTTCAACTATTATCTTGCTCAGTATTAATCATCGCCACACCAACTCTCAAATGTTACATTTTTTATGGGTTTGTGTGTATGTGCTTTTCTTTTTTCCTCTCTTTTGAATATTTTTCATAGTTTATAGGGTTTATACTTTTCTCTTTTTTTCTCTTTTAACCTAAATAAAACTGTAATTTAATCAAAGGGCAAGTAATTAGTTTAACTATATCCTGCCCTCTCCATTTATTCTTGTAACCTGATATTTAATTCTACAAATAGCATCTTTAATTCTTCAATCTTGTAATACAATATAAATAGCTTGTAAAATAAATAAATGGAGGAAAAAATAAACAAAATAAACTGTCTATCGCAGGGTGCAAAGAAAGTCAGTTTTACAGCTTGCCATTTGGGCAAGCTGCAGCTAAATAGTCATTGCCCAATAGTCATTTTAATTAGCCCCCAAAAAACAGTATTGATTACAGTTTTCTGTAATATGGATTTACTTAAAAAAAATTCATTTGCCCTTCAGGCCAGTTAAGAACAGAATTTACTAGCCCGACAGCAAAATATACTAGTCCTGGGCTATCAGAGAGACATAACCTTCTTTGTACGCTGCTATTAGGGTAAACTGAGTCTAATTCTCAGCCACAGTTGGGAAGATTTTACCAGTTTTTTGAAGATTCTGGTTGATTGTCTGGCTGCGTTTTGAACCCTCAATTGCCGGCTTAACAGACAGAGTCTCGTTTCTCGAAAGTCTGGATAATTAACGTACCTGGAAGGCTGTTGTTGTTTATATTCAAGATCGAGGTTTTAATAGTTTTGCAGTTAATTATCAGTTAAAAAAGGCAAAATGGTTTGACTTGTTAGCCAAGACTCGCGCATTTATTCTTTAGATTTTGATTTGAATATTCGCTTTCGGGTCCGAAAAAATACCCAGACTTTCGAGAAACGGGCCCCTGGTTGGTTGTTTGACCTCGGTTTGAGTCCATAATTCTCACAGTGCTCTTCCACCTCGGCTAATAGGACAATAGTTGTTAGCCGCGAAACAACGCGCGAGCGAGCGGCGAAACTGCGAGGAACGTGGAAACCTTTCCGCGCCCATCGCACTCGCGCCTGCTTTCGTGCGCTGCTCTCGCGGGAATTCTCGTGACTCCCCCAAATGGAGAGCTTCCTCGCATGCTAATAGGATCATAATTTAACATGAGAAAATTTTTAGGGCCAACAAAATAAAACTAAAAAGCATTCACCACATTGTTCTCAGAGTCTTCTCTGAATTTTTCATTAGTTGAGTGGCACTGTTGTGTTGAAAAATGTCAGGAAGGCCAAAGTTTCAGACTTCATACCAAGATGAGCCAAAAAATAGCTTTACTCCCCATGTTTCCAAGTATTCCAGTAGAAATGGTATGTCGTCATAATTTACGGTTTGTAGCTTCTATAATTTGCTATAATTATTAAGTCTCATTTCCAAAGTTTATCTTGTTCCATTCCTTGTAGCTAGAGAAGCTAAAAAGAGAAGAAGCTGTATTTTTTCCTGATTCTCTTTCCTGATTATTTTCCCGCAGTATGAGGATAATGCTTAGTTGACTGATCGTTCATTCTTTTTGAAAAGCTAAAACGTGTCTTCACATCAACTGAAGACCAAAAATAATGACCCTGTCAGTCTGTTTTGCTATTAAAGACAAAACTGTAATTAGGCATTGAAACTCGGTTTCCAGTCGTCTGTTGTTACGGATGGCAAGGATGGATGTGGACAATACGCGAAAAAACGTAAAGGGCAAATCTTGTCCTGGTAGTCGTTCTCGCCCTTCAGTCTAAAGGTCTCTATCAACCAGTGCCTTAACCCATACATAAAATGCTCCTTTAGAGTTATGAAGAAGATATCAGACAAATTTCAACGAGAGACAAACCATAATAATTTTTTGTGATTTTTGTAGTCGAAATTATCACAAAAATCACAAAAAATTTTTATGGTTTGCCTCTCGTTGAAATTTGTTTGATATCTTCTTCATAACTCTCCTGAAGGAGCATTTTATGTATGGGTTAAGGCACTGATTAATAGAGACCTTCAGACTGGAGGACGAGAACGACTACGAGGACAAGATTTGACTTTTACGTTTTTTCGCGTATTCTCAAAAAATAGACACCGCGGAAAGTTTCGTTGTACTTGTTTATTACTAGAAAAGTCAGCACTGTTATCTTAATTGAAAGAGGTTACGCCCTCTCCCAATCGCAAAATGATAAAACCTCGAACATTTGATAAATTGTTTCCGTCACTACGACATTCTGACGACGGCTACCACGTTTTCCCGCCAAAATAACGCTGGTTAACGCGCGCGCACTACTTAGTATTGGGAAAATCTCATACTGGTAGTCGTACGTCTTAGAATCTAAAGCCTAAAGGTCTCTAATGACGTTAACAGGGTAATTGACCTAAAACAGCAATATCCTCATGACATAGCTTCTTTTATTCTTTATAGATCAAAGGTTGTTTAGAACCACCTATCGAAGGTGTTGTCATGGTAACATATGGAAGTGGCAATATACCTGATTCCAGAACAGACCTGATTACAGCCATCAGAGAAGCCGTGCAGAGGGGTGTGGTCATAGTAACGTGTTGCCCTTGTCGTGGAGGCCCGCATGATGTTTCCATGCAGTTAGTTGAACAGGTACTGTACCATCATCAGAGAGATTAAGAGTCACGTTTACAGCAAACGGCAAACGCAGGGTGCAAAGAAAGTCAGTTTGACTAACATCTACTATCCCGAAAGTCATTTTTACTAGCCCGAAAAATTTTTTTCGCGAGCAGAATGAAAAAAAATATTAATTAATTATTCCTGTCTTAATTACACTGTAAGGTAATAAATTACTGGCTTCATTTATTCATTACAATCAGCTGTAGTTATTTAACAAAAGCAATAAATAACCGTAAAAGTGTGCACTATAAGTAGACCTGGTAAGATACTCTTGACACACTAGTACAATAATTCAGTGTTCACCTTTTGATTATAAATGCCTTTGTCTTGAAAGTCAACTCACAATGATGAAATAATTAATTTAAGTGAACCTAACGGAATGAAGGTCCAAATAACAAATAACACAATACTAAAAACTACATATTATTGGTTAACCTCTTGTGAAAATGTCCAAATACTCAATCTTCTGTAACGCTTTGACCTTAACGCAATATTCGCTCCCGATGTCTTCAACTAGTTTGATCTAGTTTTGCTGTTTTGCTCTCGGCGCTGCCACACTGTAGAATTTTTTCTAAGTCCACCAGAACACGTGAATGATTAATATGCATTTTAGACATTTTACAATTTAGAAAAACATTTTTTAAGAAAAAACGGCGTTGAAACCGTGAAACCAATGAAAGTTCTCAATGGACACACTAAACGACAACGTAGACAACGCGAAAAGCTGCCAGTGAAAGCACTTCATTCTGCAATTTGCCGCGCAATTTCCCGCGGGAATATTTCTTAGCCGCTGACAGGGGAGATGTTTATATTATTAAAGGGCATAAACATTTGATAGCTTTCATCAGTTTGCTTCTCATTCAAATTAGTGCATTCAGAAGGTCATTTTTCTGAAGAAGGTTTGTTTGGGAGTCAGTTTTCCGAGTCAAGTTTCAAGTTCACGGGAAAGTGGAAAATGCGAGTGTCAAGTCACGCATAAGTGAGCAAATATCATGCGAACAAAAATTATGCAAATTTGTGGTTCATCTTGTTACAAGTAACCAAAGGTTTTAGGTTTCAAAAGAACAAAAGTGTTCGTTTTATTTCTCGCAACTTTTCATCTAAAAGATTTTCGTGAAAAGTGAAAACAATACGAGGTGGTCTATATATTTTAATCAACAAACACCTACAGTATCAGTGTTTAGAATTTACCATACTGAAACGCACGTGACCAATATTTGCTAAAACCGTAATAAATTCCTCACAGGAGTTCAGGATCAAAACCTTTTAGGTTCCTCACAAATGATTATGAAGCAAGATTTAGACAAACAGCGTTCTCTGAATCAGTAAGAATTAGTCACGGGCAACATTTACGTCCAAAGTTTTTTCAATATCTGCTTTTCCTTTATCCGCGGGATCTCAATATGTCCATCCTCGGAGACCCAGGGGCAGATAAAGGGGGCGAGGGAAAGTCTAAACGGGCGGAAAAATATATATGGAACGAAGAAAAGTAAAGAACGGCGAGAAGAGCCCCTGGGGACAATGTCTTACCAGACCAGTTCCAAACGGTCGCCGCCGTTCTGGCTTCTGATTGGTGCCAGAAAAACACAAGTTTGTCTTCGAGCATGCAATATGTCTCGTCTGACATGTAATGCGATGCTTCGTCTTGTTTATGCAGATTTCACTTCGTCGGAGCGACTTTCGGTCCGCAGGAATTTATGAGGAATTTAACACATTTTTGGTCTTACAGTACTTCTGTAATTTTACTTCTCAGAAAAATCTTCGCTTGCCCGTCGGGCAAGTTAAGCACAGAATTCACCAGCCCGATCGCAAAATCCACTAGCCGCGGGCTGTCGGACACGACTTACTTTGCACGCTGAAACGTCAGATGCAAGTTGACAATTTCTCAGAATAGAAAATAAGCAGATAAAAACAGCTCAGAACAATTCTTATGGATAAAACTGGCGTGAAACTATTTATTTTTGTGTAGAAGTAATAAACAGGAAACGAAAATTAAGGGGAAAACTTGGTCACGTGGTGCAAATTCACGTTTGCCATTTGGGGTAAACGTGAATCTTAATCTCTCTATTGTGTATGATGAAACCGCTGTCCTCAATTGGATAAGCACTGGTCTGCCGAACGGAGGCCACTGGTTCAAATCCTGGCCGAACCGACACTCAGGGTCTTAAACAACTGAGGAGTAAATACTGCCTTTGTAATGAGGCCTTCCAAACGGTAGAAGCTACAGGCGACATGGCCACGAAAACTGGCGACAATCCTCTTAAAACGCACCCAACAATCGACAGAAAGGGAGGAAAGAATTTTGACAGCGACAATCCATTTTTAAGTCGTGAAAGTGACATCTGTTCACTTTTGTATTTGGCTGATTTTCGGCTGCGAAATAATAAACTGTCCTCCATTATTTCCAAACATTTTATCTTTGGAACGTTTTCTAATGATGGTATTGGTCAAGAACGGTCCATCGAGGAAGACAGGCTAATAGGAATAATTCTTTCTAGACGCTATATCTGCCTATCTATATAGTTATGCTGAGCCCACAGCCACATTTTCGGCCTAGCGGCAGCACACCCTCCCTTGGAAGGCCTCTGTAATGGCATCTGCAAACTTTCTAGGCTTCCTGGATAAGGACGAAAACCGCAGGTCCCGTCTCACAGTCCTTGCAAATGTAATAAATTCTGTGGGACGTTAACGAACCCACACACGTTTCGTTAAGAGTAGGGGACTTAATCCCCAGTGTAGTGGTCTATCCCAATTTTACACTCACATTAGGGGGCATCGTTACTCATTACTTCATTAAGCCGTCTGGCTTGTAAGTTATCCATGAAAAGCCGTGAGGGGAGTGGACAACACGATATTTATAATTTACAATTTTACAATTTATGGTATAGAATACAGAGGAGGAAAGAGAAATTTAGGGATACCGCTAAAGAAAATCCGGGATGTCATAAATCACTAAGCGCTGAATTATGTGCGACAGGTTTTTACGTAGCCTGAGAAAAACAGCCGACATTTCGCGACGCCCAAACTGGTTTCCCCACGCAATGAAGATGTCTGAGGAACGAACGGAGAAATTTCAAACTGGTGACCTGTCACTGCCCAGATCTGGGTAGTGCTTCCAAGAGACTATAAAGGGGACAGAGAGGGCATCCCCCATATACAGCTTATTCCATAGGTAATTCGTCTCGAGTTATTTTTAGAATCGGGATAAAGTTACCTCCCGCGAGGCGTGGATGTTTCGTGGAGGTTTCGCATGACCAATCGCCGTGCAAAACATGTCGGGCGCGAGGCAATGAAAGCGTAAAAAGATCGAGAGCATTCCTGAATATTGAAGCGAAATGAGTCGGCGCTCACCTGGGAAAAAGGAATCGCTGGACTCTTTGACAACCCGTGAAATCAGTTTAACTCGAAGTTGTCGTAACCTCAGTGCTTTAAAAAAATGAGAAATTTCGCCGGTCGATTGAAACCGGTCGTTTGTACAATTTAGGGAGTTTAAGATCCAACGACGCGGACGACAACTAGAGCGACAAAAAAAAACAATAGGTTTAATTAGCAAAACAACAACAACTTCGCACGTCCAACACACTTTTTTGTTCATTTCTTTCCCGTTTTTGCACGACTACGACGTGAAAATGCTTAATTTCGCGTTTTATGGAGTACGTAAATAAGCAACGACGAAATTTTATTACTCTTTCTGAGCTTGGATATGGTCCCTTGAAATTCAGCTTTAGGAGGGTTCGCCTACAATTGACAAAGTAAGTGGGTAGGAATAATCGCTATAAAGACTGAAAAAAATAAACATCAAACCAGAAATTGCTCTCTTCAAACTGTAAATTATAAATGATCCTGAGAAAATATTCAGTGTGTTAAGGATTTCCCTGCTCTAGTGTTAGCTCTATACAAGAGAGGAAGGGCGATTCTTTTTTAATTTCGGTTTCGCTGACACAGCTTTCGCAGAAATCTCGCTGTAGTCGTTTTCGTCGACAAAAGGAATAGCAAAATCGCTCTCCGCGTCTTCCCCCATCTTGTTCTGCGTCATTTCGTGAAGGACGCGTGGCTTTCAGCGTGGGTCATCCACGCGGAACACATTCGCGCTATGTGATTGGGTGTTGTCTAATCCCCCTTGAGATCTGTGGTGTTAAAAATAACTCGAGACGAATTACCTATGGAATATAGGGTGTATATGGGGGATGCCCTCTCTGTCCCCTTTATAGTCTCTTGGTGCTTCTGATTGGTCCTGCTGCGAAGGAAATTTGCTTTAACCAATCAGAAGCACTACTCATATCTGGGTAGTGACACGTCATCAGTATGGAATTTCTCCGTTCTTTCCGCGGGGAAACCAGTGTTAACGTCGTGAAATGTCGGTTGTTTTCTCAGATTAGTGTTTACGCCGTACATAAAATGTTTCAAAAGCGCAATACTGCAAACGTGAATGTCTCTTCCTGCCGAAGCAGTTTCCAAGTTTCCAATTTGCATTGGTCTTGAATTGTTAGGTTTTGTTGTGATCAGCTAAAAATAATCTCGCACGACTTTTTGAACCACACAGAAGTAGGGCAAACCGTTGGCTTGAACAGGAGCTCGTGTGTGCCCGCCTCAAATTGCTGATCTCGAAGAGACCAAGCTTCTTACAATCCCCTACTACCTCTGTAATATTGACACCTCCAAAATGAGCATACTGGATTCTGTTCTTTGGTCGGTGTCCGTATTAAGAAGGTTTGACTGTGTGTAGTTTTTTGGTTTTACTATTTTTAAGGGAGCATCTCCTAAAACCCCTAATATCTCAGTTGTTTTTGCCTTTACATTTTAGGGTCTCATCGATATAGGTATCGTTCCTGGAGGAGATATAACAGCTGAAGCTGCATTAACTAAACTTTCGTTTGTTCTCGGAAAAGAGGGATTAACTTTGGATGAAAGAAGAAAAGTAAGTTGTGTTTTACTGATGGGACAAGCTATACTAACTCATACAATGTAAGGGGACTTTCGAATTGTTTCAATTGAATGCTAAACTTGTTTACTAGTTCAACCTTTTCTTAGACTAGTCGAATAATAAGACAAGTGGCCGCAATGATGATTAAAGGTGGAGGAGCTCAGAATGATCTTCTCTGCATGGCAGTGTAGCAAATGGCCTTTAACACTGGCACTAGATAGAGCGATTTTCGTATGACCTTGAAATGAAAACGCGCTAGCAAAACAGAGACAACAAACGAACGGAAATAGAGCGGTATGATTGGTTTATCGAACGGACATAAACGCGCGTAGCTTTCGGTTGGTTAAGCGAACGCTCGGGTGAAAAAACTTCATGCCCGAGAACTTTCTAGAAATCAACCGATACTTCGCTTTGACGTCATACTGCAACACGATTGGCCAATCGAACAATGCCTTCTCCATATTAGGGTTTTCTTTGGCGGGAAAACGAACAGGCCAAGTTTGATCTTTTCATCCATTGGCTGATAAAACAAATAACGAACCCTTACCGAAACCATTTTTCAAGGTAATACGAAAATCGCTCTATGGAAAGCGAGGGATTTTTAGTCACCCAGGAAGAGCGAAATGTTGTCTCCAGCTTTCTTTGGCTTTAGCACAGACAGATGATTAACAATTACTGGGTGAGTTTGAACACGCTAGCGAGAATTAAACAAAAAGTCGTTTTAGTTACGAATTAGTAAGTAATCTTTCTTAAATAAATGTTCTCGAGGACAAAACGTTCATGTTGCGGAAAGCTTATTATTATATATGTACTGAGATTTACTGCAAAATGAATATGTCAAATAAAAATGATGCGTTGCAGAGTACACGCAATCTGATTGGTTGTACGATTTTTCTCACTAGTGAAAAATACCGTATGATCAATCACAACCCGCAGACGAAAGTTTTCACTAGTGACAAAAATCGTATCGATTTTCCCGCCTTTCACTGACGGCGTCACTAGGCAAAAGGAAAACCATGGCGTCTTCTTCGAGCAATTCAAGGTTTGCAGATATAACTTCAGTAGAGGAATTTATTGAAGGACAAGAAAACGAAAACACCAGGAAGAAAACTGAACAGAATGTTGCTTTGCTTAAGGAGTTTTTGAGGCTAAAAGATGAGTCAAGGCCTGTAGAAGAAATTCCCCCACACGAACTGAGTTCATTCATCAGCGAATTTATCATAACAGTAAGAAAGAAAGAAAACAACGAAGATTACGAACCCACTTCCTTGCGTGCTATGATGGCCAGTTTTGAACGGTATTTAAAGAAGAAGAATTACGGCTACAGCATTATGAGAGACGTCGAGTTTGAAAAAGCACGAACGGCATTAAAATCAAAACAAAGAGATCTCAAGAAGAAAGGCAAAGGCGATAAACCAAACGCTTCAGTTCCCCTCACAGAAGACGACATAAAACTGCTGTATGACAAAGGATTGTTAGGAAAGTCAACTCCTGAGGCTCTACTGAATACAGTTTGGTTCAACAACACAGTCTATTTCGGTCTCCGTGGTTGTAAGGAACACAGAGACATGTGTTGGGGCGATGTGCAACTACGCCAAACTACAAATGGCGAGGAATTTTTAGAGTATACTGAGAGACAAACTAAGATTCGAACCGGAGAAAATCCCAGAGATGTCAGGCAAATAAAACCGAAAATGTTTTCGGTTCAGGGAAGTGAAAGAGATCCCGTCACTGTTTACAAATTCTACGCGGAGAAAAGACCGTCGGAAATGAACGACAACAACGCGCCATTTTATCTAGCAGTAAATAACTGTAAAAAACAAGATTCTTCCAAACCATGGTTTAAAAAGTCAGCCGTTGGCGTGAACAAGCTGAATTCGTTAATGAAAAAAATGGCAGAAAAAGCCGGGCTGGGGCCCAATGTAAAGAACCATAGCGGTCGCAAAACAATGATCCAAACTTTAAAACACAACGACATCCCTGCGACAGATATTATTCAACTGTCGGGACATAAAAATCTTCAAAGTGTGACAAATTATTCTGTAGTTTCTGAAAAACAGCAAGTAAAAATGTCTCGTACTTTAAGTGAACTGATGTCCGGGAATGTGCATAGCTTAGAGAAAACTAATTCATCTCAAGTTGGAGAATGCTCCACTGATCCTTCAGCTAGCTCGGCGGATCTAGGGGAGGGACCTGGGGGGCCCGTGCCTCCCCCTTATTTTTAGACCAAAAAAAGAATTTTTTTTGGAGACCAGTCCCCGCCCCCCTTATCTCAGGATCTGGATGACCGCCCTCCTCCCCCCCCCCCTCCCCCCCCTCCCCCCTTATGTGTAGGTCTGGATCCGCCACCGATAAATAACTTATTTACCTCATTCGTTCAGCCATTACAGTGAAATCTCAGACCTCGCTAAAGGCAAGACCTCGGTTTGAGATTTTCCTGTAATGAACTCACTCTCGGTTAATAAGTGGTATTTCTTTTCTCCTTTGCAGCTTATGAAATCGAATCTCCGAGGAGAAATTTCAACCATGAGTCTCTAACAGACCGGGCTGGTTAGAAACAAAGAACTAGTACTCACAACTATGAATGTGTCACAACAGAGTTTATTTGGAATTTCCATCGTTGATTCTTATCTAACATGCGGAAATATTTAATAAACTAATTTTAAAAAGATTTTAAAAACTCTGAGGCAATAGTGTGGGCCTGGTAACACTGACTTAAAAAACATTATTTTACTATTTCCTAGCCTGTGACCAAACGTGAGTGGGGTGGGGGAGGGTAGACTCAGACGTAAGAAATAAGTTCCCCACCCCAACTCCTCTTGAGTTTCCACTCGGGCTATAACACTTCAACAGTGTTTTCGCCAGAAAAAGCTCACTTTTTCAAATTTAAGCAGCTGTGTCAAACCTGTTGGCGCCATTCTAAACCTTGAAGTATACGGCAGAGCTTGAGCGTAACAGGCGTTTGAAAGAAACTTCGAAGGGAGAAATAGGTGCTCAGCAGTTGAACGGGGATATACCCCTTAGCTTCCTCCTCCCGTTTAAAGGCCTGCTTGGCAGGCTACCCATTGTGAGTTAACCCTGACTATTTAGACTGTTTCATCTCACTTCAAGATTCGCCAAAGTTTGCAGGAGAGTCGGTCTATGACTTCAAAATACATTATAAGCTCGTCAAAAAGAAAAAAAAACACAACAAAAAACAAAACAAGAGAAAAGAAACCTACGCAATTTGTACTCCCTGACCTGTTGCCATTTTTATATTTTCCCCAAATCTTCTTACTCATTTTGTTTTACAGTATCTCTAGTACAGTATAATTTAACAAAATCGCAAAAAAAAATTGTAAGAGCATTCCTATTTATGTCAATTTACTGCCTCTCATGAACGAGTAAGTATGAACACGAGCATGCGCAACTATCATTAGCGATCGATCCCATCCTCCCCGTCACCTAACAATTTTCCTTGGGTATTAATAGAGCCTTTTTTACATGACGTCACGGCGGCCATATTGGTGTTCGAAGGCAATGAAACGTCGGCCATGTTGGTGTTTCAAACCAGTCCTGTGAGAGTTGACTTTTCTTATGTAAATGCTTTCTTTTGCTTCAATAAATTTGCATAGACGCTGGTCACGTGAGTGAAAACGCACTATTCCTTCTAGATTCATAAAGTGAACTTTTAGTCACTAAATTAAATTCGATAACCAACTTCCCCTAATTTAAAAAACTAAATGTCACTTCAGCTTCATTGATGTGTTGTGGGTGTCCTCCGTGAATACTTCACCTTGAGTATGTCACCCACTTCATCGATGGCTTCCAGCGCCTAAAACACAACCGGTTAATCTTTAGAAAACTCAACAAACCAAAAGGAAATCGCATCTATAGTACACACTCTTAGGCTAAGTCATGCAGACAACTGCAATTACAAATGATTTAAAACAAAGCAGGGGCGAAGCTAGGATTTTCCAGAGGTACGCACAATTTTCCAAATACCTCTAACGCCCTCTCCCCTTAAAACAGCGTGTTGATGCTTTATATATGTACGCACTTTTCTCGCCTTTTTTCTAAATATATCGATCCACAAAAAAGATCAAGGTGTTTCTTCTCTGGAAACCGAAATTTGGGTGTAAAAAAAGAAAAGTCTGTTGTTTTAGGAAAAAATATTTCATAAAAACAAGCAGAATTAAATGAATCAAGGAATGTTGTGCTTTTTAATCTATTTGCTTTTTTCCACATAAGTCGGTTTTTTAATCTATATAATTATATATTTTTTTGGTATGCACGTGCGTACTTTCCTTACAGTTAGCCACGCCCCTGCGAAGAGACCTTAGCTTACCCTGTCTAACATTTCTCTCGAGTGTGATGCTGAGAGACAGATTCTCGCCCGGCCTTCAATTATGGAGGTGGCAGGAAACCCAACGATTACTACAGCTATGTTTCTTTTCAACAATTCCCGAGAGAAGGCGCTAAAAGAGAGTATAGATGGATTGTGAGTGACAACACTTGGGACAGATGCAAAAACACCTACACATATACGCATGCAAAAGTGCAGAAAGACATCAAGCAATATTGTAATAAGACAAAGAATTAATCCTCTATAAATTTAACTTGACTTACACGCATTTTGCCGGCAAGTAAAGAAGAATGGGTACCACTGCTGAGGCTTCATGGCCATACACGATAAATCCCATGTCTTTCAATCTCTGTCTAAAGTACCTGTTAAACAGGGGCGTGTAAGAACGAGGTTCATAGTTTAACTAACTCTTTCATTGATCTTTGTACTCAATCAAAAAGTCATATATTTATCTCCACCACTATAAGATCCGGCCACCACTTTTGCTAACCTCAAAAAGCGTCTTCGGAACTTTCTTTCTTTCTCATACCCTTGAAACTGCCTAAAGTCTATTATTAGGGTTATAGAATGGTATCTCGAAAAACATGGGTCTCACAGAATTTTGGCCCGATCTCGAAATCTCGGAAGCTTTTTCCTAGGTCTGGAAGTCTCGTTTTCTGATGATTTTTGCGTCTCCGAGCCTCGACTTTTTTTCTTGCCGACAGGTCTCAGTTTTGTCAATTTTCTTTCCGTTTGCTAATTGGCCTTCAGAAGTTGAATTTTTCAGAGTTCACGAGTACTATACAGCTTATCGAACTGAGATGGTACATTAAGACCTGCAGTAAAATAAGACAAAGCAGTCCTCCGATAGCTAATTTTCTACTATTATCTCGGATGTTTGGGCGCTTAGAGTCTCGGGCTCGGAATTGTTAAAAAAGCAGAAGTCTGGGTCTCGAATTTTGAAACCAGGGTCTCTCAGTCTCGCAGAATCTCGTATTTACCATCCTACACCCCTTCTATTGTATTTTTTGCCCCCTGTAGTCTTAAAATATTTCAATCAATGACCAAATCATGGTGGGACCTTCTTGTGCCGGAAGTCTTTGGCCTTCTGAGGTCTTCTCACCACTCACTGTTTTGATCCACCTATTTCATGAAAGTGTTTCTGTTCAACTCAAACTGTATTGTTATTCAAGATTAAGACTATATCTTGTATTGCAATTATGGTACTATGAATTTTATATCTCAAATTGAATGTAATGCGTTAATCTTACGTAAGAAGTGGTCGTGCAAAATAAATAAATAAAACAAACTCTAGCTTAGTCTAACTTCGAAATTGTTTTAATTTAAGGAGAGAAATTTTGCTCGCAGAGATGAAAGAAGAGTCCCTTAGTTAGTCACCTTTAATGGCTAAATATCTTGAACAAGTTAAGCTAATCTAGTTTCCAAAATTTAAGGATTTTGGTAGAGTTACCGTAAAATTCCGAAAATAAGCCCCGGGGCTTATATTTTTCAAAGGCCCTTTTTGAGGGGCTTATTTTTGGAGGGGCTTATATTCGGAGGGGCTTATCTACGGAGGGAAATTGGCGTTTCAAAATCGATTGGGCTAGCCTTATAGTCGGAAGTAAAATTACCGTTTTTGCTTTGTTTTACTTTGTATTTGAGGTCAATTTTCCAAGTACAAGCCCCCGGGGCGCTTATATTTAGAGGGGCGATTTAACGGAGGGTTTTTTGCGTTACCGGTTTGGGGGCTTATATTTGGAGGGGCTTATACATGGAGGGGCTTATTTTCGGAATTTTACGGTAGTTCTCAATGTTTACCATGAAAGTGTATCCAAATTTTCATGTCATTTGCTTACCTGCTATTCTCTGCCAGGGCCATAATCCTTTGTCTACCTATGATTGAAAAACAAAAAAGTTCATAGCAACAATTATCCTTTGAACGTACGTAAACAGAACAAAAATGGACACTCCTCTCAATCAACATTCAAGAAGCAGCAGGGATGGCCTGAGAAAACAGCCTACATTTTGTGACGCTACTAAAGTGGTTTCCCCGCGAAATGACGTCTGACAATTAAACGACTGCAGTAACAAGCTCTCCATTTATGGCAAGCGAAGCAAGTCGCAAGAGAACGCGCGAGTGAGCAAAGGCAAGACGCGCAAGGGGCAGACTCCCCTAAATGGAGAGCTTGCTCGCAGGCTAAGTGCTCTGTATTCAAATCCAGAATTTAACTGGAATGAACGTCATTCTATAAACAGTATCTGGACTGCATGGAAGGATGTACATACCTCTATTCGTACCGTCCTCTCCCATGATAATTTTCATTGACTTTATAATTTGCATCGCCACTGGTGGGGACATGAAGGATGCATATGTAGCACTATGGGATTTTCCACGGATATGGTTTATTACGTCCTAGTACAAACAGTTATTTTATCATATGCTGGTGGAAGGAAAGGAGTTGAACAATTTAAAAACAAAAACAGACTTGAGGGGGACGCTTGGTTGTTGCGATAAAATAGAAATATTCAAAAACGTAAACATTGGGGCATCAGAAAATAGTAAACAGCAATAATTACAAACTAAATGCAACTATATCAACCAACTATATACACTGCCCGCGACCGAGATTACAACTGAAGAGGAAAGAGTCCAAAAGACGGATCAAAACGCACACCTTTCAGCCAGTAACGTCGTGGCAAAACCGTTACATACGACCACACCTCAGGGGCACCCAACGAGAATATAGTTCAAAACCACTTTAACATAGCCTATTGAACGTATTTTAGCATATAAACGGTACATATAGACATGTTTTTATCCCCTAAAAATTTTTCATCTGTTCAAATTTCCTAGCTGAAAGTCTAGTGATCTAAAAAGTATAGGGATCAAAAATTACCTTTTCGAAAATTTCAGCCAGAAAAAAGGCTCCCGAAAATTCTAGGTGTCCTTTTTAGTGTAAAAATCCGTTAAAAATGGGCAATTATACCATTTTTGGGGGGTTCGAAAATTCTAGGAGAGGCAGGCAAGCAAGAAATTTAACAACAAATGTTCCGAAAATTCTAGACTTAAAATCGTCAGTTCCGAACAGATTTTTTCCAAAAATTGTCGTTGGGTGCCCCTGACACCTAAAGCGACCTCATCTTGAGCAATCGGGACCCGGTTCCTGAAAGGCCGATTAGCGTTAATCCAGGATTATAGTTTTTTCCGTTTTTGTATTTTACAGTCCAATGCACTGCTTAGGGTAACATTTTGTGTTATCATTACTGTACCTTGTAGTAAAGACTCAACAGTATTTTGTAACCTCGAATTGCCTGTTCGTACTTGATATTTGGCTTAATCCTGGGTTAGATTTAACCATCTTTCGAGGAAGCGGGCCCAGGTCAATATCCAGATTTTAATAGAACTATCCACTGACGAGTCACAACTCACTTAGGTTCTAATAATGACTTTCACACGGGCTTTCAAAACGTCAGCCACGCCGTTTACCAATAGGAGGGTCTGAATGGGGGGGTCCACTTGTCGGTTGTCGGTTAAAATTCAGGTACTTTGTCGGTAGTCGGTTAAAATTTTCGATCTTTGTCGGTAGTCGGTTAAACTTTTTGATCTTTGTCGGTTGTCGGAAAATCTCTGTTAATAAGTAAAAACGCTTGTTAATTATTAAGATTTTTATGTATTTCACCCAGTTTCAAGACTTTGATCCGTAAGGAAAGAGTAAAACTTGTAAGAATGCATCATTTGATTGCACTTAAACTTCATTAACTCTTGTTTGTTTATGGAACATGATCATTTATTTCACCATTGTTTGCCAAATGATATCATGAGTACTGATAAAATCACCAAACTTTTTATTGGAAATGCGAACTTGGTTCCCTGTCGATTACTGGGCACATTAAAAAGTAATTAATTAATTAATGGACTCCAGCCTTTTGGATACTTAAATTATTCTTAGTGAAAAACTGCAGGGGGTGACAGAATGCACATCTATACCTTTAATGTTTTGGCTCTAACAAGCATGTCCTTTGCCATAATTTTCAAGAAATAACACGGGTGGATGCCACCCCCCTCTCCCTTTAGGTTTTTCTGGGATTTTTCCAAGCGGATAAAACATCAGCACATGACGTTTTCAGTAGATGTTCGTTTACCCCTCGCACGCATTTTGAGACAAGTTCAGTGATGATCAGTTTCTATGGTTACGAGGTATGACATAATAAGTAGCAGGTGGTCAAGCCAATTTGAGTTAAAATGTATGTTTTTTTTTCAACTTTTTCAACAATAAAAGAAAAATGTTGTAGCTAAAACCATGCAAACTGCTTATCTACGTGTTATTATTCATGTCAAGCAATTACCATTTCTCGTTGTTTTAACCTGATTTCTAATTCTTTGTAATATCCAAGATGGCGGGAAAGATGGCGACCATTGTTGGTGACGTAACAGGCCTCCAGCAGCGCCACCATTCATAAAATATACCTCATCTTGTTAAGAAGACCAGAGGCTTTTCAGTGAAGGCAAAATCGTGTGGTACCGCAACATATCAAAATAACATATCTGGGGAGGGGTTCCATCTACCATCCTCTTGTACCATGGTGGTGGGGGGGGCGGGGGTATGATTTTGCGTCTACGTCCGAGGTTTAAGTTGGCAAGGTAGTGGTTGGTTTTGTATGAGATTACACTTTTTCATTAAAGCTTCTTTTATTGTGTTACGAAAGGCAATATTTCTTTTTCTTCCTTGTTGTTTTGTTTCAGGAGCGCTGCTTTCCTTCTGTGAGTTTTACTTCTAATAGCAATTTTTCTTTCAAAATTTTTTGGCCAACCTCGTCCATGCATCAACCCCTTTTTGAAATCTGAAATACTTCCTCAGAGGAGTTCGTAAGATTCTCAAGGCTTCTTGTTTGTCAAATCCATTTTAACAATTGGTGGGTCGTAAGAGGTGAAATGTAAATACTGGAAGGTTTCTGTTTAAAATGCGTCTTTACGTCAATGATAGCTTTTTCTCATTTTTCGTTGAATGTAATTGTGCCTTTGTATACAACCGGGTCTAAAAAGGTTGTCTCAGTGTCAGATATTTCGGCCGTAAATTTTATCGCCATTAGAGCAGTAGGGTGAAGGAAGTTTACTTCTTTCTTTAATTTGAAGAAATCTACCATGTCTGGTTTACTTATGTCCCATAGGAAAAAACATCATCGATGTAGCATTTTCAAAAAGTTGGTTTAAAGACGGTTTTGCTTAAACTTTCTGTTTCAATATATGCGGCCATGAAAATGTTGGAAAGGAAACTACTGTATGTGCTCATCGCGGTACCGTGGTTTTTTACTGATAGTGCTTTCCATCAAACTGGAAAGAATTTTCTTTGAGGATTAATCTAAGCATTTCAAACGTTCAGTTTTTTCACCTTTGTTGTTTCAATAAAATTTATAAAGTCGTCTGTGATTATGATATTAGTTGTAGTAATGTACCCGTATCAACAAAAGAGGAACTTGTTTCTGTTGCACCATCTGATGAGTCATAAATTTAAAGAGGTTACTTCCTAACGGCTAGAAAAAAATGAAAAATGCTCTTTATTCTGAAACAAATATTGATTATGTCAGCCCATGTCGGTAGACGGTTAATATTTTTCCTGTCGGTAGTCGGTATTTTTTTACTCGTTTTGTAGGTACTCAGTAATATTTTTCGCCCTTTGTCGCTAGTCGGTTAACCCCATTCACACCCTCCAATAGTGATATTCAGGACAACACTCGCCAAGACGATCATATTTCAGCTACTTATAACACAACTCCTGGGTTCAAACCATTTACCATGGACGGATTGAGAGGTCAGCCGAGTGGACCCTGGCCAAAGTTTCTTCCGTGAAATGTTGTATTATTGTAAAATAAATAGTATCTATACATAAATAGTCTCTATATAAATGCCATATGTCCCCGCCGCCCCTTTCTGAACTTTCTGGATCCGCCCCTGTTTACTAGATTGTTTTTGTTTCATAGAGAAGCCAACATTACGCAGGGCCACCAGGGCTCTTACCTCAGACGCCGCAATGTACCCTCCTGCTGCACCAAAACTCTTGGTAAATGTACCCATCATGATGTCGACATCATTAGGGTCCACTCCAAAGTAATCAGTCACGCCTCTTCCACGAGGACCCATGGCACCAATGCTGTGGGCCTCGTCCAAGTAAAGATAAGCTTTGTATTTCTTTTTAAGGGCAACAACTTCTGGGAGCTTGACTAATGAACCTTCCATGCTTAAAAAATAAAATAAAATGACGATGGTTTTTGGGTGTAAATTTGCACCCCCGTAAGCCAAAACTTGCTGTGTTTCCTACATAACGTATTTAAGAGGATCGATTTTATAGGATTTTCTCTCCGCCCCATGTAGGGAAATGTGGATTCCAGAATCGGGCAAATTGTTGCTAAAAGAATCCGGAATTCGGGAAATTTTTGCTTGTTGATCCAGAATCCAGGGTTTTGTAATCTGGAATTCAGCTCAAAGAATCCGGAGTCCGATAACTATTGGAATCCAAACCTCGTTCCACTGACAAAAAATCAGGAATCCACTCCCTGGAGTCCTGAATCTATTACCTGGAATCCATAATCCAAGACTGTCTCGGATTTTCTTACATAGTGCGATTCTTTTATCATCTCAAAAATATGAATTCTTTCTCATGATTCAGAATATCTTAGCTCTGCAAGACTTTTTTTGTATGCCGTATGTGATGGGCGCCTCACCTGTCTGCGCTTAATTTTTACACCTGTTTTGTCAAGGGCCTTCCTTGGTCTCATTTGCATTTCCTCCCCACTTTTCGACGTAATTACGATGTTATTTTCACAATTTTCGTAGCATTCTAGCAAAATTTTGTAACAGAGTTTAATCCTGGACATATCTCTAACTTCAGATGCTGAAAAGAGACATCCCAGGTTTGAGACAGACGAAGAATTTTCCGTTAGACTTACCTATAAATTCCTTCAACAATTATTAAAATCTTTTTCCACGCTCTGTGCGTCCTTGGTTGTCCTTGGACAACAGCTTCCCTTAGGGTCTTCTCTAAGCACTTCATATCTGCGACGTGTGTTGAAGACAAAGAAAATATAATAAACGACATTGCCTGAACAATGAACGCGGGAAGTATGGTTGTTTAATTAAGCCATCCATTTCTACTCACTTAAGTTGCATCTTCCCCTTTGAACCTATCAGGACGCAAAGCAGACTTAAGCTATTGAGTCTGGGTAATTGTGCTCAACCTGTGCAAAGGGAGGCCTCTCTTGCAGCCGTTTTTGTCTGGTGACCCAACGCCCCTCCCCCTCCCCTTGGGGATGATCTTTGCGCGACGAGACAAAATCGGCCGCGTGGAAGACAATGCAAAAGGCGGAAACAGGCCTACAGCGGACATAGCGCTCCTCCCCTCTCCGCGCTTTTAATTGTGTTGTAAAGCGCAGGAGTACAGTTTACTGGTGTTAAAGATAAGATAACATGGGTATTTGGCCAAGTATGTGATAAAAACAGTCGAAACAGCGCGCAGACATCAGACCAGTTACTTTAGCGTTCAAGAGGTGCTGCGTAAGTCATTAGGGAGCTTTACAACGGCGACGGAAGCGAAAATCCCATACAAAAAGTTAATTCGCGCTCCTTCATGCTACTTTTCCCTTATTCTGTTTTGTTCAATTTGTCAAATGCTGGTAAATTTGTCAGGAGTTAAATGTTAAAAGACTGTATCTAAGGCCCCGACCACACTAACTCGTTTTCGTTTGAAAACGCATACATTTCGATGCGTTTAAGCCTTCCGTCCATACTAAAACGCTGAGCGTTTTTAGTGAAAACGCATCGATCGATGATCTTGAAAGTAAATCAAGTCATAATTCATATATATATCGTATTAGTGTGGACGGTCGAAAACGTACCAAAATGAAAACGATGACCGAAAAGATGGCAGGCGCGTAGTCTGAACGCGAGTCGATCGATGCGTTTTCGATGACGAACGAAAACGCAAACTTTCGAAAACGCATTACTGTGGAGAAGACCTAACTTCAGAAAAAACTAAATCGTTTTCTTGTGTTCACGTCCTTCATAAAACGTGAAATTAGGAAATTCCACGTCGTGGTCGTACAACAGCGGCAAAGAAATGTACAAAAAAGCGTGATGCACGTGAAGAAATGTTGTTTTGTTAATCTAAACCTTTTGCTTTTTCGCAGTTCTCGATGCCGTCGCCTTTGCTAAAGCTCTTTATCAACCCATTTAAGGCGCTTTACTTACTCTTATCGAACGCTTTACACCAGACATAGTTATTAAATTCATTTTACCATTATGTTTGAAGACTTTAATTTTAGCTGCTGAAAGTCTCGCTCCTAAAATGAGGGAGGTGTGGTTGAGCTCGTCACTGATGATCAAATCTCCTTTCCCCACCAGGGCGGGTATATTTGCGGAGTTGGTGGCGAATCCCATTCCAAACACCATAGCTGCGGGTCTACCGACAAACCGTGCAACCAGGCCTTCCAGCTCGTTGTGAATGGCGAGAGTGCCTGATAATAAGAATTTAAATATCACACAGATTACAAAAAAAGGAAAAAGAGAAGGCAGCTAGGGGAAATTGTAATGGGAACTGTACAAGTCCTTTGTCGGGGACACGTTGCTCATGTTATAATGACCAAGTTACCTATTTATAATGACGCTATTATATAACAAGCACGCAAAACGTGACTCGCAGGTGAACATTTTAAACAGGTACCAAGGCCTACTCCGGGACCTTAAAGCGCCTTAACTTTTAGGCGACTTTTTTTATTATTTAAGGCGACTTTAGGCGGCTTTAAAAACATTTGCGAAAAAAATTATGCGATCTAAAGGCGACGTTAATACCCCAGATTAGGCCTGATGCCACGAGTTTTGATCCTGAGAACAAGTAGACCGACTAGCCAACGAAAGGTATCGTGACTGACTAGAGGAAACCTTCGGGTATTTTCATCAATTTTCCAAAAGTGTCCCTGTCGGACCACAGGCTAACATTGTGACGTAAATGAGATAAGAAAAGGATCTTACCTCGTCGTCATATATCTTTTAGAAAGTCGAACAAAAATATCGGAACGGGGGCAAAGAAAGTTTTACATAGCGGCACGATTGCTAGACCATCGGGGAATAATCCCATATTTATTTTCAATGCAAAATATTCTCTCACCATATTCATTTCTTGGGCTACAACCTGCAACACCATAACTGCGAACCGCCTGCTCAGCAGCTCTGAACATGGCCCAGAATTCTCGGCGAACCCAAGATAGTTGTATGATGCAAGATTCAACGCCCTGGTCTTCGTTCCAGGGTAACTGTGAATTTAAAGAAAAAGGAACGTCATTGAACATAAGACGAAAATATCGGCACTTATTTGCGAAATGCTTCTGAAAGTTTTTTCCACTGCCAAGTAAAAGAAACTCATGAGCATAATTTGGGAATCTAGGGACTTATACATTAACTTCTGCATAATTTGCCACTTTTAGGAGCACAATCAGCCGAGGCCTAACTGCTGTCGTTTTGCGACACACTAGCTCCCTTGATGAAGTACACCGAACTCTCGCATTGCGGAAACTTCGTTATTACAGACACCCCAGTAATATGGACCATTACATATTTTTGACTGAAAAAAAACTCCAGTAATTACGTACTCCCGCTGGCGAAGCTACGGGTTGGGGTACTCCCTATGATGGTCCATATGGTGAAAGTGCAGAAAAATCTGTCATTTTGTTATTTAAAAGACCCTTAATTAGAATATTTCGAACAGACGCACCTCACAGTCGTATCATTTAATTTAAATACCAAGCGCTACATGTAATGAAAACAAGACTTACTGTTAGTAGGTATTTGAAATGGTCACCATTTTTCTATGGAAGGAACACGAAAGGGATACCATTTTTTGCCAAAAGTGGTATATAAAAGGTTACTAAGGGGTTAGAACTCGAGGTAGAGCCTTACCATATAAAATGATGTTAAGTAGCCCCCCAGGCGTAGCTACGTACAGCTTCTGTCTATTCTGAATCTTGTTCTAACGGACACCGAACAGCATCTTTCAACATTAACAAACAACTTGAAAAAGATATTCATCCGTCTTTTATCATCACATCCAGTTGTCTTTTTGGCTTGATTTACGATTCCTATATTGCACATCAATCGAGCTGCCTACAACTATGTGCCATGCCTCTCTAATGCAAATGTTCTCTGAGGAAATTCTACTCAGGCCCTATTTTTAGGGACTCTCGCGATCGCTTTCCCACTTCAGAAACTATAAGGGAATGGGTACAAGCTTACGGCGAAACGATTTCTGGAATCGTTTGAGAGGACAAGCGTTAGTTTTGATTGGTGGGTTGCCTTGAATACTATCAACCAATCATAACTAACCAAACGTTGCCAGAAACCACTGCAGCCAAAGCTTGTATTCTCCCTTGAACTTCTGAGGTGGGGAAATGAGAACACCGATTCGCGAACGCAGAGCTAAGGGTGTCCGAAATAATTGACTGTATACGGCGAAAAGTAAGCGATCGCAATCAAAAGCGCCGAAATTAAGGTCCATCCCAAAATAGTCCCAGTACTTTTTGCCCAACTAGGCCCAGTTTCAGCGCGAGGGTCAAGAGCCTGTTAACAAGCGCCTTGGTAAACATACCTGAAGGTCCAGTTCCAGTCCTCTGATTCCCTGTCAAGCAGGTCTATCTCTCCACCAGGAACGCTACAGATCGGTCTGTTAAAGCAGTCTCTAACACGAGTATACATGTTCCGGGTGTAGAAACTCTCAAAATCAGAGTAGAGTGGTACAAAACCCTAACAAAACGAAGACGAAAAAATAAATAAATGAATAAATGCACGGCATTATTTAGAAAACCAACTCTCGGCAGTTTGCATAAGATGGGTTGATTATGCTGAAACCGTTACGATGCCGATGCGCCTCAATAGTGAAGGCCTCCAAAAGGGGGGAAAGGGAATGGCTTATCTTCCCTTGCTTCCTACAAAAGTTAAATTTTCCCCCTTGATTTTCACGATACAATGTTCAACGGTTCCCTTGTTTCTTAAAAGGACATTATCAACATGTTCTCCTATTCCCCCAGGCCTCTGGAAGGTCTTCGAAGTCATTTCAGCTTAATTACTCTTCTTTGCCTTCATTGGTCAGTAAACATCATTAAAACGAGTACTTTCCGATATACCCACCTTATCGACTTTATCCGCCCAAGAATTAGAACATGGAGTCTCCGGTCTGTTTACACTCTTTCATTGCGTCTTTAAACATTTCTCTAAAAACCTTTCCTTTTTTAAATTTGGAAATCATTTTCATGGCTGGTATTTTTTTATGTGTGATCATTGTATTTACACTGCCAACACTCTATGTACATCATAACAAAAGCAAACCTAACAAGCACATCATGAATGCCGGCCTACCCCATCAAATTATTCTGTAATTAGTTAAGGGTCGTGCAAGCCGTGCAAAGACGAATCATTAAGTGAAGTGTAAGTCAGGCAAGCGTTGTAGAACCCTTTGGTACCTCAGAAAAGCTCAGTCTTGTGGTCGCTCATTTCTGATATAACGCTATGATAGTTGTTTTTTTCTGACATTTTGACTATTTGGTAATTAGCGGATTGTTTAATAATTTTGGCACAGCTACAAAATATATCCTAACAACTAAGTCAGCAGAGATCCTTTTTCGATCCTTTTAGAGACAACATTTATTAACATTCAATCTTCTGAGAAGAAAATATTATGCAAGAAAAATTCAACTTATATCGAAATATTGCCTGAAAAAATTTGCTTTTATCAATTGATTGCATAAGTTAATTTGGCGTCCGTTAGGTTTTTCTCGTTTGCCGACGAACGCAACATCAAAAGCATTCAAAACAACAAAAGAAATATACTGTACTGGGTTTCCTTTCCGCTCGGTACAATTTCGGGAGATTTTCGTCTACGATTCAGTGACGAACGATTAGTCCTCGAGAGTGAATTCAACTCGTTGCTAATAGAGACAGTAAACGGAGACGGTAATAATTGGAAAGAGGATAGCAGCAGATTTTGAAAAACTACAATCTGAGAGCCAAAGAGTTAATGGCAGAACCTGAGCAGATCTTAAGAGAATTCTGGACGGAATTCTCAACTCTTTATCAATGATCGTAGTATAATTGTTCAAGGTCTTACACCTTCTAAAAAATCATTAACTCTATTTGCAGATAGTTGTTTAAAAACTTTATTGCCAAGGGTGCAAGAGGGAACTATACTTTTTTTCCTTTTCGCTATGACGATCTTGCTATTAAGTAATTATAAATAGAAAACTGAAAGCTCTTCGATATCTTGCCGCAGCTGCAAATTGTAAAACGATTCTCATAGCTGAGTCAACAACGAGAAGGACTAATGAATTTGAAGTGTTTCAGTTTAAAAGAGCAACAATTGTTAAAAAGTGATTCACATGTTGAAGGATGAGAATTTACACCACAACTTAGAAGTGTTTCTGTTATAGTTAGGTCCGAAAAAATATTTGCATACCATCGAATACCACATACATAAGCCGCTTTTTCCGAACAAGCCAAAATCAGGCACGGCATTTTTATAGCTGTGTTTAAGATAATTATGTTACAAATACTACTAGGACTTTGAAACCACGTTACTAATTGATATTTTCTGAATGCCGAACCTAAAAGTGTAACTAGAAAAACTACGTAAGCGGACGGGTTCAAATCAAATACACAGCTCTAAATAAGGTGAACATAACAGTCACTTCTCATTGGAATCCGGGGGGACTCCCATATGGAAGGGACGGAAGCTCGCCACCATATTACTTTGGGTGGGAGATGAATTGCAGGTTTTGTTCTCTCTTAGATTGTTTAGAATAGAAAGGTAATATTGTCACCCAACAAGTTTAGCTTAGGGTTGTGTAGAAAGAACCCACAAAATTACACTAAACTATACCTGTTTTCCATGAATGCCGTGTATCTAACTTAATTAACTAAAATGAAAAACATACAACAAAAATAACGCCAGAGCCCTCACCAGACTTAAAATGTTTAATTCCTATTATGCGACGAGTATTCTCGTCCCTTTTAAACGAGAGTCGCTCCCAACCGGGGGTAGGTGACTTTTACGCGCCGGCATAAATTTTAGCGATCACGCCACTTTTCAGACGCGCCGTGCGCACGCGTAAAGTTTCAAAAGTTCAAAGTTTAGAAAAAAAATTTGAATAGTATTGTGAAACAACAACAAATGAAAAGTAGATTTTAGGTACTTCTCTACAAACCACTATTCAAATAATCCAAACCTTCAATTTCCTAGTTTACCCAAGCAAAAATATTTTAAACTGATTCTTCGGCTGATACAATCGAGGTTCTCCTAGCTTGCTGTCGGGTTATAAAATTTCTTGAAGACTCTCTAATCGTCACCTGTTCAAATTATACATGAGTAGCTAAGAGCAATATTCCTTTTTCCAGAGGCCATTATTGCTTTTCACATAAATATTTCTCCATCGATCTGCATAAGGCGTTTTACTAATATTTTTGTGCTGTAACGTGTTATGTAACATAACACCGGTTTGCCAGAGTTTCACTTCCATTGTTCTCGATTTATTCAAAGCGAATGAGCACTCAAAAATCACCTATTTCCCCAAATATAACTACCAACCTTAATTAAAATTATTTCTCACCTCATTGCCGTTTTCTTTAACTGCCTTGTATTTTTCTAATCCATGGTTACGCGTAAAGTCACGGAAATAACCGAAAATTATTAAAAAGAAATAGGAGAGATAGGTCATCACCGCGGCATGGAAAGGGGTTTCTTCGAACTCATCTCGAGATTCGGCGACATAATTTCCATTTTTTTTCCTGTAGCTAAATAATCCGTTCGATCCAGGAGCACAACCATTTTTTGAGGAGAGATGCTTTCTCGTGTGGGCAGCTCCAGTGACCATGTTTGTTGCTGTTGCTCGCGCCAGAGTCACGCTACGACAAGACGCTTGGCTTGTCATCAGTTCAGTCAAGCGCATGAAATAAAATCAATATTAGTGTTTCAAAACATGAATACGGTAAAATTCTTCCGACTTATTTCTATGGGCTACTTTTATGGCTGTATGTTTACTTTACGGAACATTTTAATTTCATTTTTTAAAATTAATTGCATTATAAAAAGTCCTAAAGGCAAATATATAAATTGCATATATATCATTGTATTAAGATGGAGGTAAAATAAGGTCTACAAAATAATTTCCACTAATTTCGAAATGATTTGATGGCCTGCATTCTCATCCGCCATTGGGCTCTTGATATAACATTGAAAAAAAGGGCAAAATGAGAGAAGACCCTTCTGGCTCCTTATTCTGTGCTTAACCCGGGAGCTTAAAAGAGTGAAGCACGCGTGAACCGGAAGTGAAGCCTATTTCGTTATGATAGGCGTTGACTCTACTACTGAGATTTGTATTGCTTTGTGTATTTACCCTTATAGAGACGAAATAGGGAATCCATGCTCTTATTTGTAAACTGCAAATGGAAATTAAACAATTAATGGTAACAGAACTGATTGGAGTCAGTTTCTGTGGAGTTCAATTCGGTCTGTAATCATACGATTGATTGACAAAATCGGACGACTGCGTAGCGTGGGTCCGATTTGTTTAATCACCGGACGCCCACACAATATGTTTGTGTAGCCGATTGTTATTTTATAGGAAATGTACCGGATTTACCGTTTGCCTACCTATAGCGATATATCGCACGCTATGTATATAAATCAATGAAAAATAAACGTTGAATTACCTTATCTGTGGTATATAGTCGTCCTTTTGCTTCAAAAGCGGTCTAATGAGCGATTTTGAAGGAGTTTGAGTTCGCCGTTGACACCTTCTATTAAGCGGACACTTGGGAAGGTTCCGAAGGTGTCCTCAATAGAGGTTTCACTGTATTAATTCGGCCTGGGCTGTTTACAATTTTAATATCATAGGTGACGAATTACTCCTTAATTTTGGCGCGAAATTTCAGCGATAATTTGTAATTTCGCATGTGAAATTACAAAATTGCCATGGCAACCTTCCGTACGTCTCAGTGTCAAGATGGCGACGAAGTTATAATTAATGAAGATGCCAAGGCATAAAAAGACGCCTTAGAAAACCTGAGCACACAAAAGAGCGCATCAAGAAGGATTCTACCAGGTATTTTGTCGAAAAATTCTGAACTTAAGCCAAATTTAAGCTCTTAACGTTCGAGAGAGTGGAGTTCTCGATCGATACGATCGAGGATAAAGATATCAAAAAGCCAAGATTGCTAATTACGTAATTCGTCACCTACGATATTAATAGGTAATCAGATGGTATACTCTTGAAATTAGGGAATAATTTCACTTGCGTTTTGTCCAAATCCTAATAATTTCCCTTGCCTAAAGGCTCGGAAAAATTATAAGGATTTGGACAGAACGCATGTGAAATTATCCCCTAATTTCATTCGTCACCATTTGATTACACATACTTATTTTTTCTCTAATATCACGTAGCCTTTCCCTCAAAAGCCACATGAACCAACATGCCAAAAAGTTAACTGATTTAGGGATTACAAGTTTATTGTTCGATTTAAATTACAAATTTATTAGTGGGAGCTTCGTTTTTAGCCCTGGCTAAATCTATATATTATTTAATTTCCATTTGCAGTTTACAAATAAGAGCGTGGGTTCCTTATGGGGACGATCTGTCCGCTGGCAAGACCCTTGCTGATTGCTTTGCAAGTTGAGAGAACATCGTTTGGATTTCATGTAAGAGAATGTATGAGAAGTACTCCCCCCACCCCCCGCAGGCAAACATGCAAAAAGATCACTGCCGGTTGACGTGCGAACGCAGCCGTATTTCCGGTTGTATCCCGAAAAGGGAACTAAAAGCCGAAAACGGCGTCGACTGCAAACATAAGCAATAGCCCAAGGGTGGAAGGTTTTCCTTTTTCCTGTTTGCGATTATGCTTGCGCCCGTATTATGAGTGTAACGTACTCGTAGTATATAATGAGTGCTAGGCGATCTAGCTCCAGTGGATCAAAGTTCCTGCCATATTTTGGAACAAAACAAGAAATGTCGGCCGCAAAGCTCTTTGTCGTACGCGAGAAAAACCACTGGTACCCAGGGTAATCTAAAACTACAAGCTGAGAAATCCGTGTATTGTAGAACCTCGTGAGCCCGGGGAGGGTGGCCCGTAAAATGTTAGGGATGGGAGGGAGGGAGGGAGAGAGACATAATACAAAACTGGACCATTATTTTTGGAATTCGGCAATTTATGATGTTATGGTCTCCTGGCGAATAGTGTGATATAGCCCTTCAAGAGCTAATTTTTGACAATAAATCTTTCTGTTAGTTGGTCATGGTCAGAGTGAAGGAGAAAAAGCCCAAATATCAGATTTTTCCTGTTACGTCAGAGATGTTTTTAAACACATTGACCAAGTCACAGCAGACAACACAGGCATACCAATATTTATGTTTGACCACTCAATAGTATGTACTGTTATAAAAACTTTATTGGAACGCTGCCCCCTTTTTTTAATTTTGTTTTTGTTGTTGTTTGTTTGTTTATTTTACATTTTTTAAAGGTATAGATGGTAGGCTCTCGGGTCCACTAACCGCGCTGATCACTGAAATTCTAATATATGTTAATAACGAGAAATACCCCAAGCCATCATGCTTTGCGGTTGTTTCGTAATGTCGCGTTCTTGCCAGTTTGTTTTGATAACATAGTAAGCCTGTGAATTTCAGGTTTCCTTATTGTAACTCTTTTCAAGTCTGGCTTCAATGGAGTCAAATCACATATTACGAAAACACAAATACAGTCGAACATCCATATGCGATCACCTCTCGTAAAAGACCACCATCCGTAAGCGACCTCGTTAGCGTGGGGCTCAGTAGCGGTTTAAAGACTTTCCATTGTTTTTAACCTCTTGAAACGCGACCACTTAACGATTTGTCTGATCTCTTTTTTTCGCTGTTTTTGATTAATGCTACTCAGAGTATACGAAGAACTTCTAAAAGTACCAGCATGGAACTGAGAAATAAATCGGTGCAACATATTTTATACTGCTTTAAAGTAGCTGTGCCCGGAAATCTACTCCAAGGAAGCCGTCGTAAGCGAAAACCTCCTGTAAGTGGTCTCTAAGTCTCAGCCTTTAGAGTGGCTGCTTACGGAAGATTTGATTGTACCTTGAAAAGTTCATGTTATGATATTATTAATATTATGCATTATTCTTTATAGGGTGGTACAATAGCTGTTCTTAGTGTTATGTAGAGACCTTATTTCTTTGCGGGTGCAATATTTAGTGCACCAAGCATAAAAGTGGAAGCCAATCCTTGCACGGTAATTTATTGTTCCACTTGCTACAAATAGTAAACGAAAACACAATGCAAAGACTATTTCTCTTTTCTTAGGGTTCCGTCAACAGGATACAACAAACCCAAAACAGAAAAACATTACGTACGTGAGAAAACAGAAACATAAATCCCAAAACAGAAATAAACACCCCAAAGCGGAAACACATACAAAACAAAAATACAAAATTGAACCACAAAACTGAAAGAGAATTTAAAAATACAAACCTGATGATCAAAAACCGCAAAACAGAAACAAGGAAATAATGTAAAACAATAGTTTCTCATGATTCATCGTCTTTTAATTATCTTAACCCGAGATCAGGCGTTTTTTTTTCAAGGGACGGCATGATCACAGGCTATAATAGATCATTCCGAGTTCCATAAACTCTCACTTTAAAAACGAGGCTGAAAGTAAGGTAAAACGGGTAACAAATTACTGCAGAAGTGCAAAGTGATGTTGCGCGTGTTATTATCCACAAATCAAACCTGTCTTGTAGCAAATAAGATTCAGTGTTGCAAGTTGCAGGAATACTGAATCCTGATTGGATAAAATTACCCGGGAGTCACGCCATACATAGGAGTTAAATCACTTGCTTCAAAACAAGTTTGCTTTGGGTCGGTAATTAAAACGCGCAACATTGACAGATTTTGATGCAAAAAGTAGAACTTCTCTCTAGTTTTTGCATTCGTGGGTAGTAAAATGCGCAACATCACTTTTCAACTAGTTTTCCAACAATTTTGTAAAACAGGTTTCACGATTTTGTTGTCCGTTTTACCATAGCTTTAGAGAGATTTTCGTATGACCATGAAATGAAAACGCGCGAACAAAAACAAAAACATCAAACGAATGGAAATAGAGCGATTTGACTGGTTTATCGAACGGATACAAACGCGCGTGGCTTTTGGTTGGTTAAGCGAACGCCCGAGAACTTTCTAGAAATCAAACGATACTTCGCTTTGAAGTCATATAACAACACGATTGGCCAATCGAACAATGCTTTCTCCATATTAGGGTTTTCTTTGGCGGGAAAGGGAAGAGGCCATGTTTTGATCTTTTCATCCATTGGCTGATAAAACAAATAACGAACACTTACCGAAACCATTTTTCAACGTCATAAGAAAATCTAATGCAAAGTGAGATAAAACAGATTTTAGATGTGAAATATTTTCAAGGGCAGCAATTTTTTATAGTCTGTTGCCTCTCAATTCACATGTTATTTAAACATAAATAACTGATTAATCACCAGTAGAAACGAACTTTTTACAAAGTCCTAGTGGCGGAGGGAAGGGAATGTGATGATTATCTTAATACGAGATTATTTTATCACTAGTCAAGTTTTTAACCTTGTCTTCTAGGGGGAGGTGCGAAATTAACACTGTAGTGATTGTTCCGTATATAAAAACGCACCAACAAAAACAAGACGAACTTGGCCAATATTCAGCTATCTGGACCTCACGCTTGGTTAAAAGAGACCTTTAGATTCGAGGACGAGAACTACTAGGAGGTGAGTACGACTTTCGCTCTTCTCAAAAAGAAAAATAGACACCCGGAAAGCTCCATTGTACTTTTGATTCACCAGAAAAGTTAGCACTGTTACTTATTGAAGGAGTTTAAGTCCTCTCCCGACCGAAAATAATACAACTTAGCTTCTAACATTTGATAACTTGTTTTCGTCACAACGACATTCTCGGCAAAACTCGTAGTAGAATGACGACGACTATCACGTTTTCCCGCCGACGCTTGCTCATGCGCGCGCACTGCTTAGCATTAAGAAAATCTCGTACTCTTAGTCGTTCTCGTCTTAAAAACTAAAGGTCTCAAATAACGTATATAATGCATGTATTTTACAGGCTTTTGTAGGAAGAACAGTATCATGGATAATGCCCTCGTATCAGATCAGGCCACTGATTGATCCATCAGTCTTAAGCCAGGATCCTACACAGGTAATACAATTCATCACTTTAGAAACGAGTCAGAAAGTGGGTCGAGTTAACTTTCACAAAGACTTCTAGGATTGTTATTAAAAACAGCAGAGGAAAGATTGGCCAATAGCTTTCGCAAAGACTTTCGGGATTGTTACTAGGGACAGAGAAGAAGATTGGCCAATAGCTGACCGGCGCGACCCCAGTAACAATCCCAGAAACAATCGCGGGTCAAATTTGTTCTCCAATAAAATTCCCTTCTCGTTTCTAAAAAGGCGAATAACACAACTGAACACTGCTCTCTTTTCCTGAGTCGAAGGAGAGAGACTTTCGTGTGCATTTTATCCGCGTTTCCGAAGAAAAATTTCCACGACTTTCGAACAATGCCGAACATATTCCGGTCATTTCTGGAGGTTGCTGAATGAGGCTGTGTCCAGTCCCTCACACCGATCGCGAAACTCGACATTTCGTACCACTGACTGGAACGTTATGGGTGGAGACTAAATAAAAGTTTTTCACTTTAATGGTTAATGACAGGTCGTTCGGAATTGTGAGACAGGAATTGATGTTTTCCATCCTTCATGATTGTGCAGTGAACTAGTGATATTGGTGGCCGGCGGGTTTGTCGAGGATTATTCTTTCCTGTTCAATTAATCAGCCCTAAGATTATACCCCCGGTGGGGGAGGGCGGGGGAGCTACTCAACAACGTTTTATATGGTAAGGCATCACCCAATGACCTAACTCCTAACACATTTATCGTTGAAGGAGCTCGTCGTGTTTGTTTAGGGTTGGAGCCTCCCCATAAAAATTTCAATGTCACTCAATTCTTTGCAAAATCCATTTAGTAACCAAAAGTCTTACAGCAAGTCGAATTTTCTTGAGTACCAGGCGTCCCTCGCGCCTTCTACTCTCTCGGCCTTGACTTGTGGCAAGTCTAGGACTTCAATAACACAATGCACCTTGTTTATTACTATTGTTTTAGGTTGAAAAGTATGCCAATGATAGCCTAAACTGGCATGAGGGAATGAAAGTGAGATGGGTGGGAGCTATATTAGACGCAATGAATGAAATCCAGGGGAACTTGTCAAGGCTTACAACACCTTATCTACTTGTCCATGGTGATGGAAATCAATTACTGAAGATTGACAGTTCACATTTCTTACATGAGAATTCTCCCAGTAACGACAAGACATTTAAGGTACACGAATGAGCTGCTTTGCTGACAGCACTGAGCGAACTAATAGCTTCTCTGTTGGTACTTTCGACGAGTAGTTAGGGTGCTTGACGGTTTATCATGAGGGCAGAGAGAGGCGGTCTTAAAACGGCGTTTGTTCATGTGGCGATATTGCCCTGCCCGGGGTAGGAGTTGCGGCCGCCTTGTTCTAAGCGTAATCATTGTGAACTTATCCCAACAACACTTGTGATTTGTCTTCACCCTTTTAGCCCCAGGAGTGACAAATATAAATTTTCTCCAATCAATATCAACACATTTTCAAAAGGAAAAGGTTATGAGAATTTATAAAATAATCACCAAAGAGGAAATGCTTTCATCTTTCAATTTTCGTCTCCAAACGGGAGTCTAAAGAATGATATGTTGTTTTCCCTCTTCGGCCAATTTTCCTTCCCGTTGTCATTTTTAAATCTACTTATTATTTCATTATTAACTCAACTGCTTGTAAAACTTGCTTTGTAGGTGGACAAAAATGGACGCCATGAACTTTTGAATGAGGTGGAAGAAACTGCGGGCGTGGTTTACAAGGACATTCTAGACTTGATCCAGCAAAAGCTACCCTGAACTGTTTTAGACCTCGTTTACACGAATCAAGACTAATTTTTAAAACTGCATATCCTTTTACCTGGATTCGTGCTGACGAGGCGTTAAACCACTCCGGAGACCGGTTTCAAAAAGATAGTAGGCTGATTTAGTGTGCAATAAAACGGGAACGACAGATGACGACGACGCCGCAAGCAAATCAAACAACTGGCTTGACCAGGAGGTGTCCTGGGTTTGACTAATGGCAGAGAAGCAAGTTGAGCACCGGAAGTCGTGTTTAGTCCTTTCCCCGCGCTTTCCCGCCGTCAACTGACGCTCCCGTTCTGTTGCAAAATCATCCTAATGTTTCGGTGAGAGGATTCACTGGTTTCGTGTGTGGACGGAATACCAAACGGAAGGCCGATTCATGTGAAAATATAGATATAAATGCGCCATAAAAATATCCGGATTTGTGTGGACGGGGCTTTTCACGATAGTGTCAATCTACAAATACGACCAAAATCATTTCGTTTTTTTTTTTTTTTTTTTCATTCCTTTCATATTCAGAAGCCTTAATTTGCATTAGAAAGCCAAATTCTCGGAAGGATTCCATAAAAGGCCGTTTTTACGATGGCGTCATTTTACTATACCAGATTTCCTCAGGGTTTTGCTTTCTTGCGAAAGTTAAAACTTTTAGTTTTTAAATCTCAGTGGGATTAACAAATTTAAATATGAAGGAAAAAATGAGAGGAATTCCTTTACTAGCAAAAACAAGTCATTGCGTAAAAAGGCAATTGGACCCTCGGCCTGTGGCCCAAGTAGCCTTGCAGCAGTTCAGAAGAGACCCCTATGGGTCGCAGTTCCTTTGTTTTCGGGCTAGGTTCCAAACTTTGTTTGTTCATTGTTTTCCCAACCCATAATGGGATGTATTCCAAGAACTGCAAGGTCGCTCCTTATATGAAGAAAAGTCGCCCCGCGTAGAAGAGCCACTCGCCTACCCTAGCTACCCCGGGCGAGTCAACATTTCCTTACCGACAATTGGCGTTTAATTACACTAGAAACAAATAGTGGGCTCGGTTAGTGCCCTTTTTCGATGGTAAGTTCACCCTCCTAGCTAAGCCAACTTTTCGCCAAGTAAACACTTGCCTTGCCCAGCCGGATCATTAACTCGGTCAAGACAAGAGAATCAGAGCATGCACGAGCGCTGTTTTCAGCTCGGGCAAAAGGGTCAGCTGTTTCTCATATAATTAACACTTGCTTAAGTTGACTCGGGCTGGGAGGGTGACACCGAGAAAAATTTTCTCGATATAAACGGGGCCTCATTCGCATATTTTCTTGACATAGGTTCAATGAACAAAACAATAACTCTGCCGTGCATCACGCGTTTTTGTAAATTTATTTGCCGTCACTACGTTATATAGAGGACATAAGACATAAGACATAAGACAAATTTCTTTTTCTCTATTTACACTTTGATGTCAGTGCTCCCTAAAAATTCATTTCCACGGAAAAATCGCTTACATTTGACCAACTTAGCAAATTAAAATAACCCCCACAAATTTTAAAGTACGCCAAATAGTTTTATAAATGACGTTTCGCTACCGTCGGCGTATTAACTCTCGAGCAACTTACTTTCAGTCAGAGTCAATTCTCTGTATTTTAACGCCATGCGTTAGTAGTTATGTCTCACGTTAGGTTGTCTGCTTTGGACTAGAAAAGGTACCAGGACGATCAAGAAACGGACCCCATGTGGTTTTTTTAAAATTTTATTTTATGTTATTAACAACAAATTAAGAACATTAATACATAGCAGAAAGCAAAAGAATAAATAAATAAATAAGTAAGTAAGTAACAAAAGAAATCACAATAAAAATAAAAAGTATTGAAGGGTAATAAATAAATAAAACCTGTCAGTTGCCACACATATTTAATATTATCCCACGTGGTTTTGCTTTCCGGTCCTCGCGTGAAGACCTAGGCGGGCAAAAATTGACCGGAGACCTCAAAGACGAAAATACTGGTCACCTGGAGTGAAAGGCGACGAAGAGAAGAGATAGCATGGGAACGAGATTGATTTACAGTTTGATGTTCCTAGATAATAATAGTCTGCGATCATGGTCTCCCTGAAAAAACGTAAAACGCCTGTTCAAAAAAAAAAGACGATGAAACATGAGAAAGTATAGCTTTACACTATTTCCTTGTTTTTGTTTTCGTCTTTTGTGGCTATGGTTTATTTGTATTTTTGGATTCTGTTTCAGTTTTGCGGCTTAATTTTGTATTTTTTTGTGTGCGTTTCCGGTTGGGGATGCTTATTTCCGTATTGGGATTTGCGTTTCTGTTTGATAGTGTTTTTCTGTTTTGGGTTTTCGTTTTGTCTTAAGTCTTTCTGTTTTGGGTTTGTTCTCTCCTATTTTTGTTGTTGTTGTTGTTTTCTTGTGGTTTTTTTGTTTCTATCAGCCTCCCTATATATTTGATAGTCCTCTACATTTAAATCCAACCACTGGAGAACACTTCAAACTCCGTCGAAAATCTCTTCACAGATATCAAATCGTTCAGGTAAGAAATAATGTCCTTTAACTTGGAATTTTTCCTAAGCAGATATTTGTGCAAGGTTCATTTTGATTTCCTGCTGTAGTATTTTTTCCTCTCTTTTTTACTTACTTTTTACTTAATAAGTTTAGACCGGTTTGCGACCGCGAAGCAAAGTGTGTTTGTTCCGTGTTAAGCAAAACGTCCGACTAGAATATTGTTTTGGTCGATTTGTGTTTCTCTCCTTTCGTTGTCTCCTTTGTCCGCGTCTCTCTTCCACTTTCTTCCCCCCCCGCCCCTAAAAACCCTCACCCCTACCCCTCCTCACACAAGCATTGCCGGATATTCCGGATAATTTGTGGTAAATGTGGATCTCTCATGTTGTAGACGTCACAGATTTATAATAGTTTTCATTTTTATTATAATAGCTAACGAAGAAAGACCTGCTTTGTACATAAATTTGTGAAACTAAGTCTTGCATCGATCAATAGGAAATTGAGGTCATGAATTTAGTTAGTCAAGAAATCTTTCCTCAAACAGCTGCCTTTAAAATTTATTCATTGTGGATTGGGACTATGTAAATTATAATGCCACAAAGTATTTCAGGAAAATTACTTTTTATAGATTAATTGGCTTGTATTTCTGCTCTATGTAAGGCAAACAATTTAAAACTTGTTGTGGTTTGCTACTTTGTGGTCCCTCTGAAATTTGCATGTAATATTATTGTCGCCTGGCAGTGGACTTATTTTTGAGGATTAGATCTAGCCCCATTTCTCTGGACATAACCTGTGTACAGCCACACCCTCCCCTTAAAAAATCTTTTTTTTCTGACGGGAGGACGCCTGTATACAGGCTATTTGGGCGGAAACAATTTATGTAAACTAGATGGGGAGAGTGTTGTGACTATAATAGAATCATCAATGCACGGTTGCACAGTGAGAAAGCCGTATAACCTTAGTGTTTTCCTCTTGGTGTTTTTGATACAAAGCTACACAATTTCTATTCATGTAAGAATTTTATAATTTCAAAAGAGAGAACAGAAGTTAATTGGACTTAACTTTGGGCCTTTTGCGGTTTCTCCTACCAGATGCATCCGTGCACGGGTATTCTCAAACTATACAATAAAGTCACAAACAATAGAAATATTTCTTTGAGCTGCATGTTCTGCTATAAAAACCTTGAGGATAGAGCTAATAATAAATGACTCTTAAATTGGCTGAAAATGTTCCAATCCACACATTAACGGTCGCAATTATTCCAAACCATCAAAATTGACCTAAAAATCGACTTCAGAGAACTCGGCGTCAAAAGGCCGATCTATACCTCAGACCAAAACAGGGACAATCGAGCTAAAACATTGGCATAATGCCGATGTCTCCATAGTAACTAAGTGTACCCAATTTGACCAAACTCTACCGACACCTATTTCCACATAGTAATTTTCAAGGAGTTATAATAACTCCTCTAGTGGGTTAATTTAACCCCTTATAGTGGAGTTATTTTTGGGGGAGTTACTTGAACTCCAAAAAGGAGTTTAAAGAACCCTTTTTCAGGAGTAAAAATGACCCCAGATATTGAGGAGTTAAAATAACCCCAAAAAAGTAGTTATCCTGTACCTAAAATTTTTACTCCACTTTCAGAGTCAAATAACCTCCAAAAAGAGTAAAAACAACCCATGTAAGGAGTAAAAACAACCCCATTTTCGGAGTTATTTTAACTCCAGACTGGGAGGTAAAAGAACTCTTTTTCAGGAGTAAAAATGACCCCAGATTTGGAGTTAAAATATAAAAGGGGTTAACCTGTGCCTAAAATTTTAACTTCATTTTTGGAGTTATAATAACTCCCTAAAAATTACTGTGCAACCCTAACACACTCTCTTAGGCAGAAGCTTTTAACTACATTTTCATTTGGTATCACAGGTTTAAAAAATGATTGGTTTTTGCACTTAATGTAACCTTTCTTTGTTTTCTGAATAATTAGGTGGGGTACACAAAGATGACTTTTTGAGTATTTTAATCTTAATTTATAGAAAAAAGTTTTAAGGGATTCTACCTGAAATATTGTGTTATAACAGACAGAATAATTCCGGAGATGCGTCAGTTAGATTAAATCTAGGGAGAAAGGAGTGGAAAGTTCTATCATGTCTTGTCTGTCAAATGGGGACATATTCTAAGACTGCAAGTGTATTAGCCTGCGAAAACATACAAATGTATTAATGAGAATTATTTTTGTTTTTTCTCCTCCTCCACGCTCCATTAAAGAAACCCTACTGCAAAGAAACAGTCCACTTTCAATACTTAAATTTCGAAATGGCAGAAAGAATACTACAAGATATAGCTGAACAAAAAAAGCGTCTTACAAAAGCGCAAATCAATAGAAACACGGCAGAGAAAGCAGATGCCTACTACAATCTAGGCAGGGCTTATTACTTCCTCGAGGACTTCCATAGAGCAATAGAGTACCTCAAGCAATACCTGAGCATTGCTGAGGAAGTCGGTGACAGAGCAGGTGCA